TGACAAACTGCACTCAAAGAGTCCTTAATGTTACTGCGTCTACATGGAGGGAAGTAAGGTTCTTTCCTAGGCCCAGTATTCTTCAACATTTTCATAAACAACCTAGATGAGGGAATAGAAGGTGAATTTATCAAATTTGCAGATGACACTAAGCTGGCAGGAATAGCCAACACCCCAGATGATAGGCTCAAGATCCAGAGGGATCTTGACAGACTTGAACACTATCTAACAAAATGAAATTCAAAGTAGAGAAAAGTAAAGTCTTACACTTAGGCAAGAAAAACCAAAAGTACACATATAGATTGGGTGAAGCCAGGCTTAATAGCAGCAACTGTGAGAGGGATCTTGGAGTCTTAGTGGACAATCAATTAAATATGAGCCAACAGTGTGCGGCGGCAGCCAAAAAAGCCAATGCAATCCTAAGTTGCATTAACAGAGGGATTCAATCAAGATCATGTGAGGTACTAATACCACTCTATAAACCACTAGTAAGACCACACCTAGAATACTGCAACCAATTTTGGTCTCCACACTATAAAAAGATGTTAAGATTCGAGAAAAAGTGCAGAGAAGAGCAACAAAGATGATTGGGGGACTGGAGGCTAAAACATGAAGAACAGTTACAGGAATTGGGCATGGCTAGTCTAGTGAAGAGAAGGACCAGGGGAGACATGATAGGAGTGTTCCAATATTTGAGGGGCTGTCACAGAGTGGAGGGGGGTCAATCTATTTTCCAAAGCACCAGAAAGCCAGACAAGGAATAACAGATGGAAACTGATCAAGGAGAGATTCAACCTGGAAATAAGGAGAAATTTCCTGACAGTGAAAACAGTCAACCAATGGAAGAGACTGCCTTCAGATGTTATTGGTGCTTCATCACTGGAGACTTTCAAGAAGAGACTGGACTGGCACCTGTCAGAAATGGTGTCGGGGGTTGGACTAGATGACCTCCAAGATCCCTTCCGACTCTGTTATTCTAAATTCTAAGATGGCAGAAGTCTCTCCACTGGGAAGCACAGCAGATATTATCGCCATTCATAACAATGACAGTGGGAATGGAGACATCACATGCTTCCTATCAACAAGCCTTCTACTTCTATTGAAGAAATCATTTGATAGTTTTTGGAAATTGGAAATTGTAAGTGTACTTGATGGGGAATAGTTATCAGCGTAAACATCACATTTCTAGTGAGTGACAGCAACTGCATACTTCCCATTAGAAATATTAGATGAAAATAACAATCCATCCACTTTAAAAACTGAAATTTTCAAGGTTTGTATTGAAAGAAAATAATAATGCTGGTTATTTAATAAGACCTCTGTTCCTAAATGTAGGGAAAGTGACACAATAGCTAATGCTATAATTGAAACAGGCCAAAGGACCTTGTTCAAAATATAAATTGAATCCTATTGAAATTACAGTAATGAAACTTATTCCAAGATAGCTAGGCCGAAGACTGACATCAGAATTTCTTTTCCTCTTACCTCTCATTAATTCTTAGACAGGAACTGCTTATGACCTAATAATCCAAAATCCTTGGATTATGGGGAGATTCCAGAGATTCAGTTCCAGATCAAGGCTCTGAGCCAGGTTACCTGGTCACTAAAGTAGTGGCAGTAGATGCAAATTCTGATCAGAATGCCTGGCTCTCCTATCATCTGAACAGAGCAACAAAACCAGGGCTCTTCACTGTGGGACTACACACTGGAGAGATAAATGAAGGACAACAGCCAGCAGCTACCAGTGAAAATGTTTTTTTTTTTAGTTCCTCTAATCTGTCTATATTACTTTTTCTAAAAAAAAGCCACTTTTCTGCTGTACACCCATTTTTTTCTCTTTGGAAGGTTCTATTTACTGTAACAATGATAATAAAAATAAATAGTATCAGTTATAATGTAGTAATGAAGACTAAAATAGTCTTGCTTGCATACCTACATGAGAAGTATTCTTATTTAATGTCAGAGATACTCTTCTAAGTAGAAAATGGGCCGGATATTTTAACAAGATATCTAAACAAAACCAGTTAATTCTTACTAACAGATGAAATAATAGAGGATGTTGAAATTACAGGAACTTTGGAGGAGAGTGATCATATCATACTGGAGTTCAACATAATGCAAGCACAAGCAATAGAACAAAGTCAAACTAGTGTTTTAGGCTTTAAGAAAGCGGCCTTCAACAAGTTTAGAAAGAATTCCATGGATGGAAATCCTAAAGGGGAAAACAAGTTAAGATGCTTGGGAAACTCTGAAAATTGATATTGTAAAAGCACAATCTAGTAAAATACCACAAAGATAGAAAAAACAAGAGAGCCTGATAAAACCAGCATGGTTGCATAAAGAACCTATTGACAAACTGAGAGAAAAAAGTGATAAACATAAAAAAATGCAAAGAGGAACACATAACCAAAACAGAATACCAGCAAATAGCCTGAATCTGCAAGGACAGTTAGGAAAGCTAAGGCTCAGAATGAACTAAGACTTGCAACAAATGCCAAAATAATGAAAAAAGCTTCATTCAATAGGTAACAAACAATAAAAAAAATTGAAGGAAATAGTCAGTCCACTAATGGAAGAAGAGGCAAGTAGGTGACAGGTAACAGGGAAAAAACAAAACTCTTAACTCATTCTTTGCATCTTTACACAAAAGGAAAAAATAATGTAACTCATCAAAATCAGCACCATAGGAGATATAACAGGATTGCAAGTCAAAATAAGCAAGAATATGATAAGAAAACCCCTATCCACACTAGACAAGTACAAATCACCAGGATCAGATAGATTACATCCTAGGGTTTTGAAGGAGCTGGCAGATGTTATCTTGGAACCTCTGAACAAAATCTTTCAGAGCTCCTGGAACATGGGGGAACTGCCAGGGGACTGGAAAAGAGCTGATGTGTTCCAATCTTCCAAAAGGGAGAAACACTGGATCCAAGAAACTATAGATCAGTCAGCCTGACAAAAATATCTGGAAAAGATAATCAAGTAGTGGATTTGTGAGCACCTAGAAATGAGTAAGGCAATTATTAAAAGCCAACATGCCTTTGTTAAAAACAGCTAATGCCAGATAAACATTATTGCTTTCTTTGACAAAGTGACTAAATTTGTGGATCAGGGAAATGCTGTGGACATACTTTACTTAAGCCTGATGTGCACATCAGGGAACATATGCATTTGTCATTCAGAAAAGATTGCAGAGCTGTTGCAGTTATACTTCTGCAAATGTTAACTTTCTGGGTAGGGGGCACTCAAACAACAAAGTACAGAACAGGAAGTCAGTTCAACCAATCAGCATGCAGGGTGAGCTTCTCCACACAACACATAATTTAAGAGGTGTGTAGTCGGCTTGTCTGCCACCTCTGCAACCTAACTTACTCATCAACCTCTTCATAGCGTATTATCCATCAATGCCTATGTGCATTTGAGGACAAGTCTAAATCAAGCTTTAGACTTCAGCAAAACATTTGACAAAGTAGACCACAGCTTACTTCTCAGTAAGATAAAATAATATGGGATAGACAGTACCACCACCAGATGGATTCGCAATTGCCTGACCAACTGGACCCAGCATCTAGTCCTCAATGGAACTTACATCTAAGTGAAGGGAAGCATGCAATGGGGTACCTGAAGGTACTATGCTCTTCAACATTTTTACAAATGGTTTAGACGAAGGGATAGAAGCAGTGGTGGGATTCAAATATGTGAACAACCGGTTCTCTGTGTGGATGCCACTTCCGGAAGTCCATTCTGGGCCTGGGCAACAAAAAATTAGCTACCGGTTCTGCCGAAGTGATGCGAACCAGCTGAATCCCACCACTGGATAGAAGAAGAACTCATCAAATTTGCAGATGACACCAACCTGGGATGAATAGCTAACACTTTAGAAGACAGACTCAAAATACAGAAGGATCTTGACAGACTTCAACATTGGGTCATATCCAACAAAATGCAATTTAATGGTGAGAAAAGTAAGGTTCTGAACCAGCAGTGTGCACCAGCTGCCAAGAAAAGCCAATGCAGTCCTAGGCTGCATCAATAGAGGGATAGTATCAAGATCACAAGAACTGATAGTGCTGTTTTATATCGCATTAGTGAAACAGTGTGTCCATTTCTGGTCACCACAATAGAAAAAAGATGCTGAGACCCTGGAAAGAGTACAGAGAAGACCAACAAAGATGTTAAGAGGTCTGGAGATTAAACCATTCAATGAATAATTGAGAGAGCAAGGTATGTCTATTGTAAGAAAGAGAAGTACTAAGGTGACATGAAAGCAATGTTCCAGGACTTGACGGGTTCCTACAGAGAAGAGGGGCTCAATTTATTCTCCAAGGCATCAGAGAGTAACAGGTGGAAGATCATTAAAGAGAGATCCAACCTAGAACTAATGAGAAATTTCCTGAGAACAGTTAATCCAGTGGAACAGCTTGCCTCCAGAAGTTCTGGTGCTCCATCACTGGATGTTTTAAAGAAGAGAGTAGGCAGACATTTGTCCGGAATGGTATAGGGTCTCATACTTGAGCAGGGAGTTGGATTAGAAGTCCTCCAAGATCCCTTCCAACCTTGTTATTCTATGTTCTAAAACAAGAAAATACAGGTTTTAAAAATGAATGGGTGCTGAATGAACATTAACTGAATATAAAAGTGATGGGCTGGCACAAAAGAAGATCATACAGAGACCTGAATGGAATGAGGATCAAATTGCAAAGCAAATATAAGAACGAAAAGTGAATAGGTTGAAAGAAACTACAGAGTTCAATATGATTGGAGTCAAGGAGATCTTTAAAAAGGGAAAGCTGAGAAATTTAAATATCAAAAGATATATACGAATCAGTATATGAACACAGTAGAAGCAAGATTAATTTGCTAGAATAAAAAATTATGTAAAAGGTACAGTGAATAATACTAGAGTAAAGCAGTTGGGTATATTTTCTTTTATTTTTCTTATCTTCTGTGTTTAATTTTTTTTTTTTTTTGGCTATCTATTTCTTTCTCCTGTTCTGCACTCTGCCCAGTGTTGCTTACCCTGAAAGAGAATAGCCTGATAGCTGTATATATATGTTCATTGTGCAACAATTCTCCAGGAATCTGCAGCTTCCTGGCTTCCCATATTTCAGTGAAATCTCCCAACAAGCAATAATGAAGGAATTTCTTCCATTGGCATTTTTCATAATGGAAGTGTTACCAATTCCAAAGCTAAAGTAAATTCAAAACCACCAGCAAAAGAAATTCTACAGAAATTCTGAAGCATCCTAAGAGTAAGGTAGAAAAAGAGAAACTTCTTTTGCAGGGAAAAAAAATATTTGAAAAACTGAAAGGCAAATTTCAGCACAGCATCCACATAAAAAATGATATGCTGGCAAACATGGAAGCAATATTATGGCAGACATCGGTTACAGTTTTCTACAGAGCCTCTGGGTGTCGCTGTTCGCCTATTTGGTAGTGAAATTGTTTCAAAGTTCCAACCATCGCGTTTGCAATTTCTCTGAAACATCCGGACAAAATATATAAGAGATAACATTGCATGGAATGTTCTGAAGGCAACTTCTTTGTGGAATTTGTCAGATTGTAAAGACAATGGAAGAAACACAGAGGCTGCAGAGCTATAAAAAGAAGATCTTCCAATGCCTTATCACAATATTCGTTTGGAAAGCAATTTCTGGGAACATTCATTATGTTATTAGAGAAGAAACACCAATTGGTTTTTTTGTGGGGAACATTGCAATGGACTTGGGAATAGATGGCAATAATCTTTCAGAATATGGACTACGAATTGCAACCAGGACAGGTATGGTTCAATATTTTGCTTTGAATTATAACAATGGCTATTTACAAACCTCTGAAAGAATAGACAGAGAAAAAATCTGTGGATGGGCAGAGAACTGTGTTTTAAGTTTTGAGATTATTATTGAGAGCAAGATAGAGATTTACAGGGTTGAAGTGAAAATTACAGACATAAATGATAATGCTCCTCAGTTTATACCTGGGAAACATGAAATCAAAATCAGTGAATTATCTACTCTCGGATCTCAATTTCCTTTACCTGAAGCTCAAGATCCAGATCTGGGCATAAACTCTATACAGAGATATGAACTTACCAGTAATAGTCATTTTTCTCTGGATATGCAAATAAAAGCAAATGGTGCCAGACAGGGTGAGCTTGTGCTGAAAAAACATCTGGATCGGGAACAGCAATCAACGTATGATTTAATCTTCACAGCTAGTGATGGAGGTGAACCAGTGAAATCTGGAAGCGCTAGAATCCAAGTCATTGTTCTGGATGCAAATGATAATGCACCAATTTTTAGCCAACCTATCTATGAAGTCAGTATTGAGGAGAACATTCTTAAAGGCTTCACAATTCTTACAGTAAGAGCTATTGATCTGGATGAAGGACTCTACGGAGAGATAAATTATTCATTCAAAAAAATCACAAAAGAAGATTCCAAAATATTTACTTTAAATTCAACATCTGGTATAATAAGTATTATGGGGAATCTTGATTATGAAGAATCGTCCTTACATGAATTTGAAGTGAAAGCTGAGGATGGAGGGGGATTGTGTGACTGGGCAAAAGTTTTGGTCATTGTAATGGATCTTAATGACAATGCACCTCAAGTAACAATATCATTTTTCATCAATACTATATCTGAGAATTCACCAAAAGGAGCAGTTATTGCCCTCCTTAATGTACAAGATGATGACTCTGGAATCAATGGGGAGATCACATGCTCACTTACCAATAACTTCCCATTCCAATTTAAAAAATCTCTCAATAATTTCTATAGGTTGGTAACATGCAATGATCTTGATAGGGAACTTATATCGGATTATAAAATAAGCATTACAGCTACTGATCATGGAAATCCACCACTCACTACAGTCACTGAAATCTTTCTCCAGATTCTAGATACAAATGACAACCCTCCACAGTTTCTGGAATCAAAATATACCTCCTACCTTCTAGAAAATAACCCAAAAGGAGCCTCAGCCTTTTCCCTCAAAGCAAGTGACCCAGACTGGGAAGAAAATGCCAGAATAACTTACTCCATCACTGAGAGCCAAATGAGGGACTTGCCCCTCTCCTCCTACCTCTCCATTAATTCTGAGACAGGGACCGTTTATGCCCTAAGCTCCTTGGACTATGAGGAGATTCAAGAGATTCAGTTCCAGGTCAAGGCTCAGGATGGAGGCTCCCCATCGCTCAGTTCTAATGTCTCAGTGACTCTCTTCATCCTGGACCAGAATGACAATGTGCCAGAGATCCTGCACCCCTCCCCTCCCACTGATGGCTCCACTGGGATAGAGCTGGCCCCTCGCTCTTCTGAGCCAGGTTACCTGGTCACTAAAGTAGTGGCAGTAGATGCAGACTCTGGCCAGAACGCCTGGCTCTCCTACCAGCTGATCAGAGCAACAGAACCAGGGCTCTTCACTGTGGGACTGCACACTGGTGAGATCAGGACTGCTCGGCTTTTTCTGGAGAAAGATGCCCTGAAGCAAATCCTGGTGGTTTTAGTGAAGGACAACGGGCAGGCGCCTCTCTCTGCCTCGGTCACTCTCACGGTGGTTCTGGCTGACAACATCCCTGAAATTCTCTCAGATCTGAGCAACATCTCAGCTCCTGTAGATCCTCAGTCAGACCTCACTTTCTACTTAGTGACTGCCGTGGCTTTTGTCTCCTGCTTATTCTTTACCTTCCTCCTTGTGCTACTGGCAATTAGAGTGTATAGATGGAGGAATTCAAAATTGTTAGAGTCAGGAAGTGTACATTTTAATGGTGTCCCAGTGTCACAATTTGTTGGGATGGATGGAGTCCGAGCCTTTCTTCAGTCGTACTGCCACACTATTTCACTCACCAGAGATTCTAGAAAAAGCCACTGCAATTTTCATGAGGAAAACTGTTCAAATACTCTGACCAATCAACCTCTAACCTGTGGGGCAAGTGACCCTATCGTAGCCTATGGGGATTTAAACTTGAAGAATGATGAGCAAATCTTAGTTAAGGTGAGTTTAATATTTCAGATTAATGGTGTGTTGTGTTGATCCAATAAGCCTTTATTTATCTCAACAGTGGTTTCCCTTCAGTTTTTTCTGTCTATTGAATCTTAATACTGGATGTTTAACATTTTGTTTTTACTCTGCTGGGATCTTTCAGCTTTGTCCTGATGTCTGTTAGGATAATGTTCATACTGTTGATATGAACACTGTTCCAGAATGAATGCAGAATGTTACATCTATCGTATAGATCTACTTATTTGCCATTGTTTCATTCTAGTGATATGATAAGGCTGGTTAATTTCCTCTTGTACTGATATTCTATTCATAATGCTCATTTTTCTATGGTTCCCACTGTTATCAACTTATCAGTTAGGGTTGATGAGACTGGTCCAAAGTCATCCAGTGAGTTTCTGTGATTGAATGTATAATAGGGTGGAGTTCTCCTAGAATTCTCTGTGATGATCTGAAGAATTGTTGAGGAATTATGGTACTGGCTGACCATATCCCTAACACTGACTGAACTAAGCAACGTTTTTTTTTCTGGAGATTCACAGTCAGATCTCACATTTTACTTAGTAATTGCAGTGGCTTTAATCTCCTATTTATTCTTTATCTTTCTCTTCATCTTCTTAGCAGTTAGACATTTCAGGTGAAAACTTTCTCAGTTAGGTGATAGTGGAAGTACTACCTGTGGTGTTCCTGTTACATAGTTTCTGAAGATTGATGGAGTCCAAGCATTGTTTCAGTCTTATTGTCATGATATTTCGCTGACTACAGAATCTCAGAAAAATCAGCTTCTTTTTCCAATTGGAAACTGCACAAATATACTTAAACTACAGCAGGCTTCCATTGAGCCCAATTCTTTGTTACTACAAGGTGATTCTACTCTTACTAAAGAGGAGAAGATAGTTTCAATATTCAATATTCCTATTTTATTCAATTCCTTGCTTCTTTTTAAGATACAGAAAATATTTACTGTCTCAAAAAGTATAAACTTCCGAATATAACTGAATCACACCCTTTGCAGAAAGATGAGATGAGCCTTGAGATCATAAAAGGAAAGAAATAAAATACAATAAATTACACATTTCATATACTAATCTTTTTTAGAAAATCTTTTTTAGAAAAATCCTACAGAAATCATTGCATTTTATGTGTGATCCTAAACTTGGATGCTGTAAACAGAATCCAAGTATTATACCAATTTTACTCCCATGATATCTTTCTCTGAAAGAATTTTCAGAAAAATCTAATTTCACACTTCTAAAGTAAATATTTTTATTCTCTCTCCAATCAACCAATTTATGAAAAAGGATGCAATTCTATTGTTGATTGATTGAATTTCAACAAATGGAATGAATATATAAGATTTCTAAATAAATTACGATTTACTGTAGAAGACCTCCAAGGTCCCTTTCAACCTTATTGTTCTGTGTTCTGTGCTACTGCCAAGAGGCTTTTTGGAATGTCTTTTTCTCTTTATGCTAAAATTTAGGCAGCAGCTCAGCAACTACCTGAACCTGATGTGGAGTAAGATCATTTGAGATGGTATTCATCAAAATTTGAATGTGACATTTTTATAGAATTTTTTTTCCAATCACAGTTGATGATTTTAGTGAAAGAAAGAAAATGATCCCTTACATATTTAATTCACTGAAAATCTATTGTATTTACCTGGCATGATTTATTGCTGATTGTGATGATTATGATATTAGAACTACCATTTAAAGCACACTAATGCAAGGCACTTCTTCCTAGTTTATATTTCTAGAGGGAAGTAAATGTGAGGAGTGAGGGATTTGAGCGGTAGGGGTAGAAGGATACATTGGAGGGAACCTCAGAGTGACAGTTTATGAATATATATTTAATGCCAAGGAAGGCAAGGATTGGCAGCTTAGAGATATAATTGCAATATTAAGGAAGCTTTTTTACAACTCATGTTAAAGTATTAATAATGGTTAATTTTATTTCTTTTTAAATGTTAACATAATGACAGTGCTATGCTATATTTTCCCCACCTTCAATCTAAATATGTTTTCTCAGAATACTGTACATATAAAGCAATAGAGGAAAAAACAAAAGAATATTCAAACCAGGAAAAAGTTTGATGATAGCAGTTCCTTTTAAAATATCCCTGCTTGGGTCATCAGTTTATATTGACTAAAATAAACCAAGAAAATCAAGTTTTGTCTTTTTCACAAATTCAAGATCTGTTTTCCCTTAACTGAATATTTTTAATAATCCTCATCAGTTCTTAACTGAATGGACTATCTTTCTCAATCAACTAATTTGTAAACCCTTTGATCTCTATTTTATTGTTGAAAAAAGGGGGAATTTATGAGATCATTTACTATAAAGCCTTCAGAGGCTCATCAACTAAATGTATATAATTGCTGTTGATTCCAATTCTTTGGAAAAGAAGATAATTTGTATTACAGGTTCTGTAATCAGGTATTTTCTTATAAAAAACAATGTAATACAAACATCTTTAAATACAACACAATTGTATTCTTAAGGTAAAGAAGTTAATCAAATAGCTTTAAATGAAAACTCTCTGAAAAGAATTGAAAACTTGATAAAAGATCAACAGTTGTCAAACCTATACAATACAATGCAATACAATACAATACAATAGCTGCATTCAGAATCTGCATCAAGGCAATAAACAGTACAATAAAACTCAATTGACTATAGAATTTTGTAGTGTTTTTGTCATAAAAAATCAGGGCTTTGCTCTTTGAGCATCCATAATGAAAACAGAGTTTAGAATAATTTCTTTGCTATTTATCTAATCTACTATGTCTGTCTATCTATCTATCTTTCGAGAGAGAGCAAAATTAGTGAAATTCTTCATATGGACTCTGAGTGTCATTGTTGGACAGCAAGGGCGCTGCATGGATGAGTATTGCAACAAACCATTTCCATATTTCAGCTGATGGGCAAGGAGATGCAGTAGAAAGCATTATGTTAAAAGCTGCTTCACAAAGGATTCTGTTTTTATGATCCTACTGTAAAATATTGGGTTAGCTGGGGAATTCTATGTGGAAAACAAATTAGGAAGAAAAGAGGAAACAAAAGATGAGGATGGAAGCAAAATATAAAACCAGAATACAGGAACCAAATTTGAGGCAAGTACTTTTTCTATTATTATATTCTTTGATCAGCTGGGTGGTACCTGAGCAGGTTCAGTACCCACCTTCAGAGGAAACAGAAAAAAATTTCTTTGTGGAGAACCTTGCTAAAGATTTAGGGTTGAATGTTGATCTGCTGTCAAAAGCGTGCTATCTCTTCAGAAAAACAATGTTTTATTCTGGATGAGCAAAATGGTGATCTATGTGTGAATGACAGAATAGACCTGGAAAAGATTTGTGGAAAATTATCTACTTGCATCCTGAAACTAGAGGTTGTGGCACATAATCCTTTAAATATTTTCCCCATAAAAGTTTTCATCCTAGATATTAATGATAATGTCCCACAGTTCAAAGAAAAAATATAAAATTCGAAATGAGTGAGTCTCATTTGCCAGGAGCTTGATTTGCTCTGGGAAATGTTGAAGATGAGGACATTGGAATCAACTCACTTCAAGATTATCATTTGAGCTCAATCCTGTATTTCAAACTAGAAAGAGAGCAAAGATGGTGGCAAATATGCAGAACTGATTTTGCAAAAGCCGTTGGACAGGGAAAAGGAGGACACACACCACTTGATTCTTATAGCTTCAGATAGAGGATGTCCAGTGAAAACGGGGACATCAATGTTATTGATACAAACGACAATCCATTGATACAAATGACAATTTCACTTGAGGAAAGTATTGATTTTGAAGACAGAGAAAGCTATGTGATGATAATACGGGCAAGTGATGGAGGTGGACTAGTGGCACATTGCAATGTAGAATTGAGGTTCTTGATGAGAATGACAATGCTCCAGATGTAATTACTACATCTCTGTCCAGCCCCATTCTTGAAGATATTCTGCCTGGAGCAATGATCACCCTCATCAAAGTCCACGAAAGAGATTCTGGACTTAATGGGGAAGTCACCTGTTACCTAAGGGAAATTGTACCTTTCCAGGTGATCTCATCATCAGATAACTACTTCAAGCTCCTCATAGATGGCCCCCTTGACAGAGAAAAAACACCAGTGTATAACTTAACAATCACAGCCACAGACCAAGGCACACCTCCTCTTTCCACAGATAAAAACATCTTAGTACCAATCTCAGATATCAATGATAACCCTCCAGCATTTGAAAAACCTTCCTATGTCGCTTATATTCCTGAGAACAACCCATCCGGAACATCTATTTTCCAAGTTAAGGCCTTTGACCCAGATCTGGGTCGTAATGCCCAAATCACCTACTCCATGCTTAACAGCAACGTCAAGAACCTTCCTCTCTCCTCCTACGTTTCCATTAACTCTGAGACTGGAACTCTCTATGCTCAACGATCTTTTGACTATGAGCAGCTCAGAGACTTCCAGCTGCAAGTTCAAGCTCAGGATGGAGGCTCTCCATCTCTCAATAATAGCGCCATGGTCAAAGTGTGTGTACTAGATCAGAATGATAATACTCCCCAGATCCTGTACCCTTCCCAGACAACTCAGGGTTCATCGTTCTTTGAGGTGGTGCCTCGCTCAGCCGATTCAGGTTATTTGGTGACAAAAGTCGTGGCTGTGGATGCTGACTCTGGACACAACGCCTGGCTCTCTTTTCATCTCCTGCAGGCCACAGAGCCCTCACTCTTCATCATTGGCTCCCAAACGGGAGAGATAATAATAATAATAATAATAATAATAATAATAATAATAATAATAATAATAATAATAATAATAATAATGAGGTCATCGAGTCCAACCCCCTGCTCAGGCAGGAACCCTACACCATTTCAGACAAATGGCTGTCCAGTCTCTTCTTAAAAACTTCCAGTGTTGGAGCATTCTCCGCTTCTGGATGAGGTTGTTCCATTGGTTAGAGACATTACCAAGCAGAGGCTGGTCATCATGGTGAGGGATAATGGACAGCCGCCTCTGTCGGCCACCACTAGCCTCAACCTGGTCTTTGCTCAGAACTTCCAGGAGGCTCTTCCTGAAATGAATAGGGAAAATGAGTAGGGAAAAATTAAACACCTTAGTTCTAATTCTACTGACAATAGTGGCACTCGGTGTACATAATTGGCATTGATGTGTGAATTTTTCCCCCATGTTTTAAAATCTAACTAAGCCTATTTAGTTTTGTAGGACCCTGGGCGCAAAATTATATTGCCTAACCTTACTGAAAATAGAAGTGTAGCCAGTCGATTTAGGTTTACACTTGAGATCTCTTAATTAGTAAAGCTTTAAAATTACTTTATCTGATGCTATATTGTGTCAGCAATATTAAAAATGATTGACGGGAATTAAAGAAGGAGAGATCTCTTCTACTGTTCATACTTTCACCATCCATGTTCAAGAGAGAGATTGTGCTTTTATCTCTTTTCTAGCAAAATGACTAAGACAATTTTTTTAAACCTTGCGTTACCAAAAAATGCCATAAAACTCAAAGGGCATGGTTTATATTGGGGGAAAAAATCTGTCAGTTTTACATTCCAAAACGTCTGTAATTCTTAATTTACTTTTAGTTAAACTGGATTAGATTTGAATCAGATTCTTGAATTTGCAATATCAAGGTAATGAAAAAAATCAATTTTATCTGAAATATTAGTGGTATGTGGCACTACAAAGTTTGAGAGCCTCTTGTCTTATTAATGTTCTCACTCATAGTTGAGAAAAATCAGATTTTTTATAGATGTGTTGGTAGATTTAAATCATTAACTATTTTGGTATTTCTTATTTTGAAAGGTTGACATGACAAACTATTGTCAGAAACAATTGCTATCTGATTTGGATAAACTACTGACCAGATGGATGCGGAGAATAATAGTTTTAAGCAATAATTAAGAGAACATTGCAGTTTGCTCAGTGAAGAGACAGCAATTTATTTAGGCAGCAAAACTTTATTTTTAATAAGATAAAGAAAAAACATTTGGACAGGATGTATAAGATCTCCTATCTTGAGCAGGGGGTTTGAACTAGAGGACTTCCAAAGTCCCTCCCAGCTCTGTGATTCTTACGATCTAAAACTTTTGAATCTCATACTACACAGTGCTTTACTATATTTTATTGGTTTCAGTATCTTCAAATAAGTAGCTGCAACAAAGGAATCAGAGAAACGAGGAGAAACATTAAGAAGTTCGACTGAATTTGAAAATCTTGTAATATACAAACTGAATATCTGTTAATATAATTTATAAATTATTATGATTTAGAATCTGAATAAGCTAAAGACTGTATGATCATTAAAGACTGATGCAGAACATGAACACAGATATTGATATACCACAGTTGGAACTTCAGCAGAAGAAAATATATTTATTTCTAATACCATAGTTAGAGAAACTTACTATGTTTTATAGGTGGTTCCCATTTAATGATCACTTGTTCAGACACTATTTGAACTTATAACAGTGCTGAATGAGTGGTATGACTAGTCCTCATATTTACTGCCTATGCAGCATCCCTGCAGTCATGTGATTATGATCTGGGCGCTTGGCACCCAGCTCGCAATTATGATGTCACAGCATTCCATAGTCACATAATTGTCATTTGCAACCTTCCCTGCCAGCTTCCCACAAGCAAAGTCAACCAGAAAACCAGTGTGGGAAGAATCTGGAGAAAGAAATATTTTGGGAAATATTAAAAAGGCAGAATATATTTCCCCAAAGGATTTTAAAGGCAGAAACCAACACACACACACCTCAAGTCTCTCTGCCCCAAAGAAGAAACCAGGTCTGCAGAAATGCAGATGTGATAATCTTGTCAGAAAGATTGGAGTCAGGAAGCTGGGATTAGAAAGAAAGATCCCTAGAATCAACAATCCCTCATACCAAAAAAATCCAACAGTCATCAGCCCCAGCCTCAGGGAAGCAGGATATGACCTTTGGGATATAATAGGATTAACCCACCACCATTAGAATACCAGAAAGGCACACTCAGACTCAGGTCAAAGTTCATGCCACAGGAACAACTCCAAACAAAAGCCCAAGAAGGTATAAAAACCCACTCTCTACTACATGTGGTCAGTTTTCTTTTCCAGAGCCATCTTTCTGTCTGGCTCTACTCTTCAATAAACTACAACCTTCTTTCTAAAGCAATCTCCATGTTTGTTTATTCCCGGCTTGGACTGGACCCTGATGAAGATTTTTCCTTCAACACCAGCAAGAAGTGAGAAATTGTTAAGTGAGCACTACCTGTATTGTTGGCACATTACCCCACTCTGATTATCAAAATGAATACTTCTTTCTCTAAATAATGCCAAAGATTAAATGAGCAGATTGGACCCTTTGTTCATATGTGATGGTAATATTATAAAGCTCCAAGTCCTGGAAAATGATTCATAATAATATAATTTTAAAGGTTGTAATTTAACTTGAGATATCTCTATTAAATTCACCAAACTATATATTCCTTCAAAATTTATTGAACTAGTAGTTCCCTGTTCTCAATTTCTTGTATACTATGCATATTTATTTTGCTAAACTTTTGAGTTGTTGTCTTCCCCTCCATAAAATGTTGTTTCTTTTACATCCAAAGCACTGGAGATTCAGAGGCTATTAAAGCAATAAACCAGAAGAATAAATGAAATTGCTAGAATGCTTATTCCTTGAAACAGTTTCAGTAGACAGATGGTCTCTTCTAGAGGTTTTCTCCACTTTTAACTCCAACCAGTTTGTCCAAATGAAGCAAATCAGAAGTAATTCAGAAATTACCAAAAGCTAACACAGAGTTACAATACTTTTCCCTGGTAGCTACCATCCCCTTACTCTGCCAACAGTCTGGTCTCACATGACAAAACTCAGCTGTATATTTAGGTCTAGAAACTTTACTTAATTGATGCCAGAGGTCCTTCCAGCCATGACTTTTCTTCTTGATTCCTAAGAAGGTCTTTGTGGTAGGGAAAGCATGGGATCCTTGTTTTCATTTTCTAACCATACATTCTCTATCAAACCAGGGATTGAAGTAAAAAAGTGTTCCATATAATGAAGTATAAAAGGGGGAATATCTTGTCTAAGAAATTTTCAAATTAAATTGTAGTCACATCCTCCAATGGGTTGCTATTAATGAGCTTAATGGATTTAATGGAGCTGCTTATAAAGACGATGATATGGTACTGAAGACCATGAATGTGTATACAAAAATATGAACATAGAACAAAGAACAGAATAGAAATAGTAAACAGAAGAAGTCATGAGATTTAGAGGGATGAGATGGATGAAGGCTAAAGAGGAAGGAAGGAAGGAAGGAAGGAAGGAAGGAAGGAAGGAAGGAAGGAAGGAAGGAAGGAAGGAAGGAAGGAAGGAAGGAAGTTATGTCCTGGGATAAAAGGAAGAGAAGTGAATGAGAAAATGGTGAGTGTGAGGGACTGTGGGGAAGCTGAGAAAGAAATGAGACCATGCTACGGGGTTCATAAATACTCTGTCTTTATGAATCCCCTAATAATAAAGACTAAAGGAGCAGGTTCCAAAATTCTATACTTTACCTATAATCTGTGCATTAAAACAGCTTATTGAAGTCTGTGTAATTCTGGCTTCTTTGTACCCTATTATGAGGAGCCTGACAGGGGAGAAGACAATTTATGGGTACAAGATGAGAAGCATTAACTTAATGCAATATGTACTGTATACCAAGCTATTCTTATTAAAAGTTTGCATAGATTTTTGGTTTTAGCTACCTTCAATTAAACAAGACGCACCAGCGCTTTCCAATTCTTGATTCCCTTCTAATCTCCTTAGAAAACCCACTGGAGGATATTGCTTGGTAAAATACAAAATATTTATTCTAGCCAGTCCATTTAATACAGGAATCACAATGCCCTTCCTGCTTCCCTTCTGCTGGATTGAGTAGGGAAAAATAGATAGGTCCTGTATATAGTGGAAAAATATAGAAATAAACATAAAGTTCCTCCTCACATCTTTATTTCAAAAGCTTCTTTATATAATAGATAAGATATGATTTCACTTTTATTCATTTTTTTTTAGTAGCAATGGTCAAACAACACTTGAGTGTTCATAGTATAGTAAGCTTTCTGTCATTCTGAGCTGAGCCTCTGGGTGTCACTGTTCACCAGGAAGGAAAAGAAATCAAAAGTCAAAAGAGTCCTGTGTTGCTATTCTTTACATACAGTACATTTACCAAGTAAGTGAAAGAACAATCTAAAAACCAAGAGGTGGATTTTCCATTTGGCTTTGAAGTAGCTGTTTTCATCGAGAGAATGGAAGGCACACAAACCTGCAGCTGTAAAAGGAGGATCCTGCAATACTTTGCTATTATGTTTGCTTGCAAGATGGTTTCTGGGCAGATTCATTACTCGATTCCTGAGGAGATGCACAAAGGCTCCTTTGTGGGAAATATTGCAAAGGACCTGGAAATGGAGGGGATGAAGATTTCAGAAAATGGACTCCGCATTATTCCCAATGTAGGTATGATCCAATATTTTGCTTTCAATGTCAACAGTGGTCATTTAGAAACATCTGAGAGAATTGACCGGGAAGAAATATGTGGACAGGTAGAGAAGTGTATATTGAAATTCCAGATTCTTCTTGAAAGTAAATTAAAGCTTTATGCAGTTGAGGTGGAAATTACTGACATAAATGACAATGTTCCTCATTTCCCTCTATGGGAACAAGAGTTGGAAATCAGTGAGGCATCTATACCTGGATTCCGGGTCCCTCTTTCTGAAGCTCAAGATCCAGATCTGGGAATAAATTCTATACAGAGCTATCAACTCAGAGGCAGCAGCCATTTTTCTCTGGATACACAAATAGGAAAAAATGGTTTCAGACATACTGAACTGATACTGGAAAAAATTCTAGACAGAGAGGAACAAGCTGTTTACAATCTAATCCTTACAGCTAGTGATGGAGGAGATCCTATCCAAACAGGCACTGCAGAAATCAAAGTTATTGTTTTAGATGCAAATGACAACGCACCAGTTTTCAGCCAACCAATCTATGAAGTGAATGTCAAAGAGAATATTCCTAAAGGATCTATTATTGCTATTGTACATGCCACTGATCTTGATGAAGGGCTTAATGGAGAGGTGAAATATTCCCTGAAAAAGACTACAAAACTGGATGTTCCCATATTTCACCTTAATTCCACAACGGGTGAAATTACACTCATTGGGAATCTTGATTATGAAGAATCTACTTTCTATGAATTTGAAGTACAGGCCAAAGATTGGGGAGGATTTACTGATAGATCAAAGGTTGTTATTTTCATTACAGATTTGAATGATAATACACCTGAACTAGCAATTACTTTTGTCACCAATTCCGTACTTGAAAGTGCACCACCTGGAACTGTTATTGCAATTTTAAATGTACGAGACAGAGATTCTGGAGTCAATGGAGAAATCACAGTCTCCATTCCAGACAACTTCCCTTTCCAATTAAAGAAGTCCTCTGATGAGTTTTATAGTTTGATGACAGATAACGCCCTTGACAGAGAACAGATATCAGCCTTTAATATAACCATAATAGTTACTGACCATGGAATGCCTTCTCTCTCAACAAACACAGTGATTGAACTACACATCCTAGACACAAATGACAACCCTCCATTGTTTCAGAAATCAATTTATCCTTTTTATGTTGTAGAGAATAACCAAATGGGTGCTTTTATATGTTCCTTAAAAGCGAATGATCCAGACTGGAAAAGGAATGCAGTAATAAGATATTCTATCACTGGAAACCAGACAGCTGAATCATTTCTCTCCTCTTACCTCTCCATTAATTCTGAGACAGGAGCTATTTATGCATTAACCTCATTTGATTATGAAAATTTTAAGAAGATTCAGTTCCAAGTTAAGGCTCAGGATGGAGGATCCCCATCACTCAGCTCAAGTGTTTCTGTTATTATTTACATCTTGGACCAGAATGACAATGTGCCAGAGATCCTGCACCCCTCCCCTCCCGCTGATGGCTCCACTGGGATAGAGCTGGCCCCTCGCTCTTCTGAGCCAGGTTACCTGGTCACTAAAGTAGTGGCAGTAGATGCAGACTCTGGCCAGAACGCCTGGCTCTCCTACCAGCTGATCAGAGCAACAGAACCAGGGCTCTTCACCGTGGGACTGCACACTGGTGAGATCAGGACTGCTCGGCTTTTTCTGGAGAAAGATGCCCTGAAGCAAATCCTGGTGGTTTTAGTGAAGGACAATGGGCAGGCGCCTCTCTCTGCCTCGGTCACTCTCACGGTGGTTCTGGCTGACAACATCCCTGAAATTCTCTCAGATCTGAGCAACATCTCAGCTCCTGTAGATCCTCAGTCAGACCTCACTTTCTACTTAGTGACTGCCGTGGCGTTTGTCTCCTGCTTATTCTTTACCTTCCTCCTTGTGCTACTGGCAATTAGAGTGTATAGATGGAGAAATTCACAGATGAATTCTGGGAGAATAAATTTCAGTGGTGTACCTGCCTCACAATTTGTAGGCATCAATGGAGTCCGAGCATTTCTTCATTCTTACTGCCAGGAGGTTTCTCTGACTGCAGATGCCAAGGGAAATCACTTTAATATTTCCAAAGCAAATGATTCAGATACTCTGTGTATTAAAGAAGATTATGGTGCAAAGGATCCAAATGTAACTGGTGAAGATTTAAATTTAAATAATGATGATCTAATAGTAATTCAGGTAAGGTAATTGTTTTAAATCATCTTGATTTTTTTTGTTCTTATATGCACTTATTTATTTTAATGTACGTGCATTTTCTCTGCTACATAAAATATTATTGATTTTGCTATTATTGTAAGCATCATATCATCCATTCTATAACCTGGAGAAATATTATACTGAATTTTCAGCAGGTCCAATGATGCACAGTTTCTTAAATATAACCATGTTCCATCGAAATCAACTGCACAAATCTTTGCCTAGAACAGGACTGTGCTGTGTATCTCATTTTACTATACAAGAACATCTCAGGGAATTAGCTCTTTACATCAATTGTATATGTTAGCAGCCAAACCATTTTTAAAAGATATCTCCCAAAAAATTAAGCAGCAGGTCTGTGTGAAACTTCTCAGATTTTGGTTAACTTGAAGAGGGTATAGGATGTAAAAGGGAAGCACCAGAAGGCCTTCAAAGTTTGAGATAAATGAGGAATGAGGTAAAATATCGATGGGAGTAGAACAGTTATGGGGTGGTGATTTCTCTTGGATTTGGCAGCCATGTGGTACAGAGTTTAATTGGGCACTAAAGTTCATTAGGTTCTTAATTGTATCAAGGTTGGACAGCTCATTATTTTTCTCAGATCTGTCAACATTCACACGTGATAAAGCTTCATTTATTTTCGTTGGTTTGTAGCAAACAAAAAAGTTGCTGAAAACTCCCTGAATCTGAATCTGATTTTAATGTACTTGACAGTGCAACCCCAATTATCCTATTTCCAGGTGTAGCAATACAGATAGTCCTCGATTTGTAACCATTCATTTAGTGACCATTTGAAGTTACAACCACACTGGAAAAAGTGACTTAAGACCGCTTTTCACACTTTTGACCATTGCAGTATCCCCATGGTCACGTAATCAAAATTTGGGCGCTTGGCAACTGGCATATATTTATGACAGTTGCACTGTCCTGGGGTCACATGATCACCATTTGTAACCTTCCCAGCTGGTTTCTGACAAGCAAAGTGTCATGTGTCTGATTAACAAAACACTTAAAAGGACTTTCAGGCATATTTTTCCTAAAAGCATTTATTAAGGTTACAGAGATGTCAGTACAGCATGGTAGAAATGCTTAGATCTGAGATTCTTTTCCGTTGCACATACATTCCAGGCATTTTTCCCACCCCTATTTTGGGGTCATGGTTCACATCTTCCAATTAACTTGGAAGATGTGATTTACTTCCGGTTTCTTTTTCCCGGGCTTTCCTTATTCTCCTCCCCTTTCACTGTTGCCTGATTTAGCTATAAAAATACCAGACAGTTCTGCATATTGTCAAAGCAAGAATATACAGTATTTGCAGCATTGACATCCGGCCCCCCTTACAAAAAAGGACAGATCCTGTAAAGCAAACCAAAGCATATGTTAAGGGTTATCTTTCGGTTTGTTGGGGTGTTTCACATGAAACCTTTTGACCAATCTATTAGCCTTTACTTCACTGGATTTCACCCAGGTGGCTTCAGATAACGGGTATCCCTTCCATTGTATTAGGTACTGCAATTTCCCTTTAAAAATTCTAGAATCAAGAATACGTTTTACTTCATAGTGGGTCTGTCCCGCAACTACGAGGGGCCCAGGTGCCTTCTTCGGGGGAGGTCTTAAAGTGGAGCCCCGATAAGGCTTCAACAAGCTACAATGGAAAACTGGGTGAATTTTCCCTAAAAGTTTAGGGAGTTTTAGTTCTACTGTGACTGGGTTGATGATCCTTATTATGGGGAAAGGCCCCAAGAACTTTGGTCCCAATTTCTTGCTGGGCAACTTGAGGCGTAGATATTTAGTTGACAAATAAACCTTTTCCCTAACTTGGAATGTTCTTTGGGGAGCCCTCTTTTTATCAGCCTGCTTTTAAAGTCTTTGCTCTCAGCTGGGAAATCTGCCAGATTCCTCTCTCCCCCGGCTTGCTGGCTGTTGCTTCCCCCCCTGGGGAAACTGTTGCAGCCAGGGGGCTTGCCTCAGGCAATCTTTCTTTCTCCATGATGAGATCTTCCCTGAATCTTTACCAGCTCCTCTCAAGCCTAGAGGCAGTGGATAGAGTTCGGGACCCCAGGTCGTTTTAAAAGGAGTTGAGATCTAAGCATGATGTCATGTGTCTGATTAACGAAACACTTAAAAGGACTTTCAGGCATATTTTTCCTAAAAGCATTTATTAAGGTTACAGAGATGTCAGTACGGCATGGTGGAAATGCTTAGATCTGAGATTCTTTTCTGTTGCACATACATTCCAGGCATTTTTCCTGCCCCTATTTTGGGGTCATGGTTCACATCTTCCAATTAACTTGGAAGATGTGATTTACTTCCGGTTTCTTTTTCCCGGGCTTTCCTTATTCTCCTCCCCTTTCACTGTTGCCTGATTTAACTATAAAAATACCAGACAGTTCTGTATATTGTCAAAGCAAGAATATACAGTATTTGCAGCATTGACACAAAGACAATGGGGAAGCCATTCATTTAATGACAGGATGAGTCATTAACAACTGCAGTGATTTGTTTCATAACTGGCAAAAAAGATCATAAAATGGGGCAAAACTCATTTAACAACTGCCTTGCTAAGCAAAGGAAATTTAGGATCAATTGTGGTCATAAATAATTAAGGACTACTAGTATATTCCTCCCCCCCCCCCATCATGTCTGCTTCTTGGAAATGGTCTGGACAAGTCCCTGCAGTATTCTTGCAAGAGAAACGTAGAATGAAACATGAATACTGAATACCCTTGTCTTAAACACTTTCAATTGTATCTTTTTAGAATAACAAAATAACAGGGTTGGAGGGACCTTGGAGATCTTCTAATCCAATCCCCTGCTCAAGTAGGAGTTCCAATACCATTTCAGGCAAATTGTTGTCCAATCTCTTCTTAAAAACCTCTAGTGATGAAGCCACCACAGTTTCTGGAGGCAAGCCGTTCCACTGGTTAATTGTTCTCAGTGTCAGGAAATTCCTCTTTAATTCTAGGTTGCTTTTCTCTTTGTTTAGTTTCCATCCATTGTTTCTTGTCTTGCCTTCTGGTGCTTTGGAAAATAGGTTGATCCCCTCTTCTTTGTGGCAGCTCCTCAAATATTGGAACACTGCTATCATGTCACCTCTACTCTTTCTTTTCATTAAACGAGACAGACCCAATTCCTGCAATCATTCTTCATATGTTTTAGCCTCCAGCCCCCTAATCATCTTTGTTGATCTTCTCTGCACTCTTTCTATAGTTTCAACATCTTTTTTAGATTGTGGTGGCCAAAACTGGATGCAATATTCCAAGTGTGGACTAGTGTGACTTTAAGCTCAGTAAACATGTATTGGTTGGGAATTCTGGTGTCACATATTTGCCTTCTAATAGTAGCAATAGTTGCAGTAATGGTGGTAGATACATACCTTTATTAATCTTGCAAGATAAAAAAATAAGTAACCTCTACTGCTGTTAAGCTGAGGTACAAGTCACACAAGTTGATGGCAAACCATGCACCAGCTGGGATAAAGGGATAATATTCCAAAGTGATGACTTTACACAATTTATGGTGTAAAATGATTTTGCATCAGTTTCCTTTGATTATTACAATCTACCCTCTACTAAGCTGTAGACAACCAAGATCATACTCAGCTGATTTTTTACAAAATGAGTTGAATTTTTATAAATTGAAACTGTGTGGCTGTCTGAAATTATTCAAGATACTATAGGTTCTTTTCAGTGTGCATATGTGTTTATTGTAGTCATATATATCTGATAATGAGTTAGAAAATCCATTGATCATAGTGGCAATAAATAAGGGTAATAGGAACATCTAGCAAATTGTGTCTTCTGCTATGGAAAATCTATTCTTGAATAGTTGTGTCAGGTCCCTATAGATCCCTGTCGGGACGCTGCCATTCTGATGTGAGAAGGGACCTTTGGAGCTTTGTGATGTACTTAGCTTTGCTTTGTTTATTTTGTTTCTCCTTGCTTTGATGTACCTTCCTGGGGAGGGGGAGGGAAGAGCCTGGGGCCATCTGCCTTGCCTCACCAAGGATGCAATGCCTGGGAAGACACCTGGGAACATCTCCTTATTGCATCCTCTGTCCGGAGTTCTCACAATACCTTTGCACCTCTCGACTGGTTCCCTATGGACAGGGCAGTTGGGAGGGGTTTTGAACAATGGGAGTTAACATAACGTTTTCACGTGGGAAGCTTCAGATCCTGCCTGCTTTCTCTGCTTTCACTATTTCTCAATAAAAGTTCATTTTGAAATGATGCCAGTTTCAAGAGTTCTCCTTTCTTGGGAGAACTAGCTGAGGCAGGACCTTACATTAGGCAAGATCTGCAAAGTGGTCAATCTGGAGTGGCACCAGCCCCTACCATGGGGACCCAGCAAACGATGACCAACCTAGACAGTGAGCACAGAGAGCTGAATGCTGGGGAGAGACCTCTACAAAAACTCAGTCATACACCAACTCCAGTGAGTGGACGGAGGAAGTTGCTGCCCTGGAAGATCCTGAGAAGCCGAGATAGTCTGTTGGCGTGGTGAAGAAGGAGGATTGGGAAGGAAGAGCCAAGGAAGTCACCCTCACCCATGGTAGCTGATGACATGGCTGGAAGTGCGAAATGGAAGTGCTCTATGATGAAGGTGAATCAGATGAAGAATTGGACCATGCTGATCACCTCATAAAGCAAGCCATGCGCTTCTTGATAGAAGCATTCCAAAGCCTGAAAACACGAGGGGCCGTAGCCCACCTAAAAAGGGAGAGCAAGAAGCACAAGGAGGAGACCTGCGAGAGGGGGGATTCCGCCTTCCAGAGAAAGCTGCGAGTGCCACCGAATTGGCCAAGAGGGTGATCACCATGTCAGCCAGCCCTCCCTGAAGGGAGGCACAAACACTTGCAGGGCCCATGCGGGACAACCCCTCCGCAGGAATAAAAGGTGCCCCCCCAGGCGTCAAATTCGACAGAGACCTTCAGCAACAGGAATTTTTCCTCGCTCACATCCTCACATATATATGCAATAATATGAGTGAGACATCCCCATTGAGGGGGCTTGGATGAGAATAGTCACCCTAGCCCTGGAGGGAGCCACAGCCCACTGGATGGTGACCCTCCACAATGCCAACTCTCTGGAGCTCTGGAATTTCAACCAGTTTATGACGGCGCTGAGATGGAGGTTCGAGAACCCCCTGGCTGATTGGCAAGCCAGAGACTGCATCAAAATGGTGAGACAGGGCTGGTGCCCAGTAGCCAAATACATTGAGGAGTTCTGGGACTTAGCCTGCCGCCTCAGCTGACTGAAAGATATCTTGGTGAGTTGCTTCAAGGACGGACTGAATAACAACCTATACCATGCCTGCATCACCAGAGGAGCCCAAGATCGCCTCCACAACTGGTGCATCCTTGCTGAAGAGGCAGAGATCGATCAGGTGCGGAACCAGTACCGATCAGGCAGAGCGTGGAGGTGATCTCCACCTGAGAAGAGAGGGGAGATGGCCAAACCTCAGACAGCACTGCAGCACTTAACTGCTTGCTTTCTCCGCTTTCACTGTCTCTCAATATAAAGTTCCTTTTGAAATGATGCCAGTTTCAAGAGTTCTGCTTTCTTGGGAGAACTAGCTGAGGCAGGACCTTACAAGTTGGCCATCTGACTGCTTTGTTTAAAGTGATCACATGCCCTTTTAGGGAAGAACAGGGTAGAAGAATGGTTGTTGAATCATGAAGAATTTGTTAGACATCTGGAGGATAAAACCACTCAGGTTTGCTCTGAAAGATACTATCTGGCATGTCCTATAAAAGTGACTGAGTCATCATCTTGCAGGATATGTTTGAGCCCATTAGTCTTGTGGAAGGGACAGGTTTTGTGGTGACATCAGTTCCATCCACTTGCAGTCTATATTTCTGCCCTTCTTGGTTTCTGAAAGTCCCCTGAGAGGTGTCACGGTGCTGGATCAGAGGAGTTGATCTGTTATCACCAGATTTGAAGCAAAGTTGTACATCCCCCTTCCCCAAGCTCCAGGGCTTTCCATCATGAGGTGCCATGGGACTCAAGATTCTTTCCCCTTTTATTTAACATCTATATGAAGCAGATAGGGAAGGTCTTCTAATGGCATAAATAGAGCAACTCACCTCTGAGTCCAAAAGAAAATATAATTGAAGTTTGTCCTCATGCCCGCAGGCCGTCTAACCAGAGATCTAAAAATTACAGGAAAGATAAGGAGGTAAAAGGAACTATACCTGATTTAAGAGCATGGATCCCTCCAAATACTTAACCATCATTCTTATTATGCCTTCTCGGGGATCTAGATTACAGAATAACAGAATTGGAAGGGACCTTGAAAATCTAGTATAAACCCCTGCTCAAGAAGGAGAATCTATACCTATACTGTTCTGGACAAATGATTGTCCAATCTCTTCTTAAAAACCTCCAGTGATGGAGCACCTACTGCTTCTGGATGCAAGCCTTTCCATAGATTAATTGTTCTAACTGAAAGAAAATTTCTCCTTAATTCCAGATTGGATCATTTTTTAATGAGCTTCCACCCATTGCTTTTTGTCCTAACCTCAAGAACTTTGGAAAATAAATCAACCCCCTGTTCTCTGTGACAGCACCTTAAGTACTGGAAGGCAGCTATCATGTCACCCCTAATCCTTCTCTTCATTACGCTATACATACATAGTTCCCTTAACCATTCATCTTTGTTACTCTTCTCTGCCCTCTTTCTCAGCATCTTTTTGGTATCATGGCAGCCAGAATTATTTTTTTTGTATCATGGCGACCAGAATTGGATGCAGTATTCCAAATGTGGCCTCACTAGTGCAGTATAGAATAGTACTATCAACTCTTGTGATCTTGACACTATTCCTCTGTTGATGCAGCCTAGGACTGCATTGGCTTGTTTGGCTGCTGCAGAACATTGCTACTTCATACTTAGGTGATAGTCTACTAGGACACCAAGATTAACTTAAACAATTATTCAGTTCTTTTAGTCTATGTGTGATTCAATCTTTTTGAACTGAATTTTAATTTGATTTCATTTAATTTAATTTCTGTTATGGGGGATTATGAGGGTTTTATGTTTGTTTATTGTTGTAAACTGCTGGAATCCTATGATTCATCGTACTGGTAGTTCTCAATTTGAAACTAAAATTGAATTACGGCTATAAGTTGTGGAAGTCATTAAGTGGAGGTCATCTCTTGACCGTACTTAATTTTACAGCAGTAATTAAGTGAATGCCATGGTTGTTAAGCAAATGCTGCAGTCATTAAGTGAACACTATATCATTAAATGAATTCTTATACTCAATGGTACATTTTCTTTTGCCAGAAGCAGGAAGTAAGCACTGGAGACAGACAAACCCTCCCTCCCCCCCAAATTGTGGTCATGTGACCACAGGATGTGGCAAACAGCTATAAATGCGATCCTGTTGCAAAGCACTCAAAATGCATTCACATGATCACAGGTGTGTTTGTGTATGTGGCCATCAGAACTTCAAAATTGGAGCACAGGTAGGTCTGGGGAGGTCCACTGCATCATCAGTCACTAAGCAATCGGTGGTTAAGCAAGTATGGTATAAATATATATATAATACCATAGATAATGTGGAGAAGTGGCCTTAACCATCAGGAGGCAATCAACTTTCGGAAATAGCTCCACTCCCGGAGTTATGAAGATCTGATACTAGATACTCCTTGTCAAGCAGCTCAGAAACAAGAAACCAAGTTTTAAGTGAAGCTGATTTAAGGAACCATCCCTTTCCTGTTTTTTCCTGACTTTGATGAATAAAGTGCTTGTCTTCAAAATTAAACATAGATTTCAGAAGTTAGGAAAAGATAAGGAAGCCCCAAAATGATTTAAACTTTACAATATTGGATTTTTCTTTTTTTCTTATTTGCAATTAAATAGTTACATTTTAAAAATGAAGGTGAATATACATGTCTTCGGATAATGTTGCAAGATCCAATTTGGTCCAACCAGTTCCCTGAGGACGGGCTCCTGCACGAGTCCAGAACCTTCGAAGAGTAAACATCTGGTCCTGGTGACCCAAATTACATCTTAGTTACATTTTATTTTTATTGTTTCATTTGGTACAGAGATGTAAATTTAATTATTCCAGATAAGGAGTACAGCTATTTCTTGCCCAGTAAGAACTCCAGTAAAATCTTTTTGTAATTTGTGGGGAGGGATCTTAGTATTGTAAAATTTTACAACACCTGGATCACCCAATACCAGGGTTCACCCCGTGATTGTTTTTACTCCGTGTTACCATTGCTATTACTATTATTACATCATTTTTATTGCTACTGTTATCACCACTAATCTCAGGCCAATAGATAACTAGAAATACATTTCAATAAATATTTGAGCAGATATTATTTAGGGTTTCAGATTATCAGGAAATCCCAAGGCTGTACCTTAACCTGGCAAGATGAGTTGCTGGAAGAAGAAACCCCTTCTGCATTATTGCCAAGAAAACAAGTCAGACATGTACATGCAGTCGTAGGGCTTGAACTTAGTTCTTGGGAGACTTTGGTTGTACGTCTACACCAATACTACAAAATAGGTGCAGATCACCAAGACTGGGTGCAATAAAGCATTGACCACATCCATTAAAAAAAAATAACCAACACAGCATTCTGCACTAGCTGAAACCATAGAAAGGTCTTCCCATGCAAAATGACTGATTGTTACTATCTCAGCACAAGCTTATGGTTTTCCCATGGTCAAAATTTTATCTTAGCACTTGTCTTTTCTTTGGCATGAAAAATCTTGTAATAGTTTCTTAATTGCTATGGGATGAGGGCACTTTTTTTTTCTCCTTGTGGGCATTATTCCTCCCTGAATTTGATTAGCCATTGTATGCATTGTTGCTAGTTTTAAACTGTTTTACTGTTTCTTTTAAAATGTATTTGTTTTCTTGTGAACTGTAACTGTCCTGTTTGTGTTAGTTTTAAAAATAAAAAAAAACAGAATAGATTTTTTTAAAACAAATGATGGCAAATACTGTATATCATTTCTATGATCAAGGATATTCTGCAGTTTTGGATTGAGCCTCTGGGTGTCACTATTTACCACCGAGGAACGAAAACGTAAGAATGAGCCACTCCAGTTTTGTCAATACATTAAAGCACACGACTACAGAGACCAGGCTACCGTGAAACAGAAGCACATTTTGCTTCCAAACCTGGATACAATATATTTTCAACTGGAACCTGAACAGCACAAGAGAACCTCAGCAGTCAGTAAGTACTATCAAAAGAGCTTTTAATCCTGAGTGGATGCTATTTATATTGTAGCAAAACAATGAAGAAAACTAAGAGATTATGGAATTATGGACAGAGAATTCTGCAATACTTTATTGTGATGATTGTTTGGGAAGCAGTTTCTGGGCAGATCCATTATTCCATTCCTGAAGAGATGCCAAAAGGTACTTTTGTAGGAAACATTGCAAAGGACCTGGGAATGGATGGGAAACAACTTTTAGATCATGGACTTCGTGTTGTCATTAATGCAGGTACAATTCAATATTTTCTTCTGAATGTCAACCGTGGGCATTTAGAAATTTCCCAATTAATAGACAGAGAGAAAATATGCAAAGAGACAGAAAAATGCATAATAAAATTCCAGATCCTTATTGAAAGTAAACTAAAACTTTATGGAATTGAAGTAGAAATCACAGATATAAATGACAATGCTCCTCAATTTCCCTCAAAGGAATGGACAATGAAAATCAGTGAGATGTCAGCATTAAAAGAACAATTTCTTTTACCAAAAGCTCAAGATCCAGACCTGGGGATAAATTCTGTGCAAAACTATGAACTCACAGCCAGTAACCATTTTTCTCTGGAGATGCAAAGAAGCGAAACTGACACCAGATCTATTAAACTAGTATTGGAAAAATCACTGGACAGGGAAGAGCAGTCAGTTTATGATCTGATCCTTACAGCTTTTGATGGTGGCGATCCCATTAGGTCTGGCATAGTACAGATTCATATCATTGTTCTAGATGCAAATGATAATGTACCAGTTTTCAGCCAACCAATCTATGAAGTGAAACTCAAAGAGAACCTGCCCAAAGGATCCACAATAACTACAGTAACAGCTTTTGATATGGATGAAGGAACCAATGGAGAAGTAAAATATTATTTTGAGGAAATAAACAAGAACAATCAAAACATGTTTCTGTTAAATACGACTTCAGGGGAAATTATCCTTGTGGGGAGCCTTGATTTTGAAACATCGTCAACGTATGAATTTGAAGTGCAAGCCATGGATGGGGGTGGGCTGAGTGATAGGTCAAAGGTTGTGATTTTGGTTACAGACTTAAATGATAATGCACCTGAGTTAGCCATCACCTTTGTGATCAACTCGGTGCCTGAGAACTCTCCAGCCGGGACCGTCATTGCCATTTTAAATGCCCGAGACAGAGATTCAGGAGACGACGGAGAGGTTAAATGCTCAATTCCCAGCAACCTCCCTTTTCGGCTCAAGAAAACAATGGAGAGTTTCTACAGTTTAGAGACAGAGAAAGCCCTTGACAGGGAACAATTGCCAACTTACTCTATTACTGTTACAGCGGTGGATGATGGGGCACCACCACTCTCTACATCTGTGGTTATTTCACTCCAGGTGTTGGACACAAATGACAATCCTCCACAGTTTCTGGAATCAAAATATACCTCCTACCTTCTAGAAAATAACCCAAAAGGAACCTCAGCCTTTTCCCTCAAAGCAAGTGACCCAGACTGGGAAGAAAATGCCAGAATAACTTACTCCATCACTGAGAGCCAAATGAGGGACTTGCCCCTCTCCTCCTACCTGTCCATTAATTCTGAGACAGGGACCGTCTATGCCCTAAGCTCCTTGGACTATGAGGAGATTCAAGAGATTCAGTTCCAGGTCAAGGCTCAGGATGGAGGATCCCCATCGCTCAGCTCTAATGTCTCGGTGACTCTCTTCATCCTGGACCAGAATGACAATGTGCCAGAGATCCTGCACCCCTCCCCTCCCGCTGATGGCTCCACTGGGATAGAGCTGGCCCCTCGCTCTTCTGAGCCAGGTTACCTGGTCACTAAAGTAGTGGCAGTAGATGCAGACTCTGGCCAGAACGCCTGGCTCTCCTACCAGCTGATCAGAGCAACAGAACCAGGGCTCTTCACTGTGGGACTGCACACTGGTGAGATCAGGACTGCTCGGCTTTTTCTGGAGAAAGATGCCCTGAAGCAAATCCTGGTGGTTTTAGTGAAGGACAACGGGCAGGCGCCTCTCTCTGCCTCAGTCACTCTCACGGTGGTTCTGGCTGACAACATCCCTGAAATTCTCTCAGATCTGAGCAACATTTCAGCTCCTGTAGATCCTCAGTCAGACCTCACATTTTATCTGGTGATTGCAGTGGCGTTTGTCTCCTGCTTGTTTTTTACTTTCCTCCTTGTCTTATTGGCCATCAGATTGTACAGGTGGAGGAATTCGAAATTGTTAGAGTCAGGAAGTATACATTTTAGTGGTGTCCCAGTGTCACAATTTGTTGGGATGGATGGAGTCCGAGCCTTTCTTCAGTCGTACTGCCACACTATTTCACTCACCAGAGATTCTAGAAAAAGCCACTGCAATTTTCATGAGGAAAACTGTTCAAATACTCTGACCAATCAACCTCTAACCTGTGGGGCAAGTGACCCTATCCTAGCCTATGGAGATTTAAACTTGAAGAATGATGAGCAAATCTTAGTTAAGGTGAGTTTAATATTTCAGATTAATGGTGTGTTGTGTTGATCCTATAAGCCCTTATTTATCTCAACAGTGATTTCCCTTCAGTCTCTTCTCTCTAATGAAGTTTAATACTTGGTATTCTAAATGTCTGATTTTGTATTCCTTTTAAAAATTTATTTGTTTACCATTTTCTATTATATTGGTAATATGAAATTTCTGAGGAATTGATTTATATTATTACACATAGGAGCATTGATATGAAAATACTGTGTTTTTAGAAATGTATTAGATTTTTTTAATACATTTTTATCTTTTATATGAAAACTGTATCAGAAAGATATAGACATAACATTTTTAAACATTTCATTCTTCTCCCTTTCAATTTATCTTTTAATTTTCTAGTGATATAATAGAACAGAGGAAAGAAAAAGCATAACTTAATTTCTTCCACTTTAGATTAATGTTAGGTTTCTTGGTGACAGGAATGTTTTCTTTCAGATGTCTAACTGCATTACATTCATTTTCTCCCTATTGAATATTTTCTTGGTAATATACTGTATCTTTAGCTGTCTCATGTTGTTTGTATGAGGTCCAGATTGTAATATGGCTCAAACCTGCTTCTTATTAACTCTGAGTGATAAATCATGAGGAGAATTTCAGGAAAATTATGATTATTCTAAAGATTATTGTAGAAAAAACACCATAAAAATAATGGTTCCCAAATTTTATTGGTTCTCTATAATTTTATTGCATTGCCTCTAGGCTAAAAGGAATATCTAACAAATATATTTCCTGCAAAAAAATTAAAATATCCCATGACATTGCTGTAGGTTTACTGTAGTGTGTTGAAACACCACTGCCCACAGTTTGGGAATTATGTATGTAAAGAAAAGACCATCTCCTATATCACCTCAATGTTTTAAGTTATGTTGTTACTTAGCACAACACAGGAGAAATTATGTTTCCAGACACTGGCCATTTTAATGTAAAGGTATTCCTGTACAGTATGTAATCATATCAGCAGTGAATGTATATGATTTATAGATGATGGCCATGTTATAGATAGTCTCAGTGCACTCAGCCTAAAATTCCATTACTTTCTTGACTCAGAGAAATTCAGAATGTTTGCAAGCCATTAAAATAATGATATGGATTGATCTGAAACACAACTGAGACTATTTTCAAAAAATTTGGAAAAGTATGGGTTTAACCTACTGGAACCTAGGGTTTAATCTATTGGAATAAATAAGTGCATTTATGTACTACTGCCTTACCATACCCCCAACAAAGGACATTGTAACTACTTTTGTGTCTACATCAAATTAGTCCATGTGAGGAAGAGTATGGACACATTAAGGAAGCAGTGGGGTAACACAAGATTCCGTCTTAGGCCCAGTACTCTTCAATATCTATATAAATGACTTAAATGAGGGAAATGAAAGGGAACTCATCAAATTTGCAGATGACACCAAACTGACAGGAGTAGCCAACACCCCAGAAGACAAACTCAGGATCCAAAAAGATCTTGACAAACTTGAACAATGGGCCCTATCCAACAAAATGAGTTTCAATATGGAGAAAAGCAAAGTCTTACATTTAGGCAGGAAAAATCAAAGGTACAAGTACAGATTAGGCGAGATCTGGCTTAAAAACAGTAACTGTAAGAGGGACTTTGGAGTCCTAGTGGATGACCACTTGACTATGAGCCAGCAGTGTGCAGCAGCAGCCAAAAAATGCTAATACAATCCTGGGTTGTATAAACAGAGGCATGGAATAAAGAACACATGAAGTATTAGTACCTCTTTATAAAACCCTAGTAAGACCACACCTGGAATACTGCAGCCAATTTTGGTCACCGTATCATAAAAAAGATATTGAGAGTCTGGAAAAAATTCAGAGAAGAGCAACTAAGATGATCAACGGCCTGGAGACTAAAACATACGAAGAACCGCTGCAGGACTTGGATTTGGCTAGTCTAAAGAAAAGAAGAAATAAGGGAGACATGATAGCAATATTTCAGTATTTGAGGGGCTGCCACAAAGAAGAGGGCATCATGTTATTCACCAAAGCACCAGAAGGCAGGACAAGAAACAATGGTTGGAAACTGATCAAAGAGAGAAGCAACCTGGAATTAAGGAGAAACTTCCTGACAGTGAAGACAATTAACCAGAAATCGTGGGTGCTCCATCACTGGAGATTTTTAAGAAGAGGCTAGACAGTCACTTGTCTGAGATGGTATAGGTTATCCTGCTCCTCCAAGGTCCCTTCCAGCTCTATTCTATTCTACCTACTGTAAGTAACATTGTTATACTGACAATAGAAAAGAGCTTCTCCAGAGCCCTTCAGTTAGAGGCAGTCACTACTTTGAGAATTGTGTAGAAATTGGCAGACTGAATTTTTGTACACGTGCATTTTGCTTTTATTCTCTTCCCTCTCACTGACTTCCTACTTAATTAACTGATCAATCAGAACTTGGATAAACAACAGTATTATCTCCTTATTTCCTGGCCAGCAGAATGTCTCAGTTTGCTCAGTTTCCTCTCACTGATACCTAGTGTATTTCTGGATGTGTCTGTACTAGTTCAAAAGAAAGCAACTATACTTTTTAAAGAAATAGATTACAATTTTTTCTGCTTGCATAAAATATTTAGTTTAACATTTTTGCTTGTCTGCTTAAAAACAAATTTGTTAGGAAGATATTTTCCATGGAATTTGGTCAGCAAAAGCTTGTTTGAAGTACAAAGAACTAATTACTTTGCAATGACTTCAATTAAGTCAGGAGGATTTATTTCAAAGAACGTAAGTTTAAGATGAGTGCTGAAATTCAGTATATGCACTTTCTAACTTACATAATGTACAAAAGTTTCTGGAGCACAAATGCTACAGAAACTGAATAAGAAATAAATAAGCGGAACTTATTATTGGGCTTAAATAGTAGATGTAGATTTATTAGTAAGAATTATGAATTTATAGTCATATAGATTGTTTATTTGCTTATACAGTAATCTAGATCCCAACTGCTGATTGTTTCATTTGTGGGCTTTCTGAATGTCTTGATGCTCCTCCCATCTTCTAGCCTTTAAGTATTAAGGAGGTGAAACCCAGATCATGACTGTTTCATTTGGTGAAAAAGAATTAGGAACCCCAGTACCATTGGTCAGAAAATTAAAACAATGTCAAAAAACGTATACCATTTGTTCAGCAATTGATGTTGCAATGCCACTGAAAAATCATTAAATTAGTTACAGCTTAACAGAATAACAGAATAGAATAACAGAATAACAGAGTTGGAAGGCATGTTGGAGGTCTTCTAGTCCAACTCCCTGCTCAGGCAGGAAACCCTTAACCATTTCAGATAATAATATTCTATGTTTTTTGTAACAAAAAACCCCATGGAATTAAAATAAAGCTTTATCAGGAAATGCAGTTCACAGTATAGACTCAGAGTGTCACTATAGGACAATATCAGCCTTGGATTAGCCCTTGATTCTTCTGTAGCTGTATCCGGCAGTTGCATTTCAACTGACTAGAAAACAGATGCAGCAGAAAGCTTTATTCTAAAAGGTGTTCCGGAAAGAATATTTTCCCTCATGAATCAACTCATTAAGACCATTTTTTTCTCCAATATTATTGCTAAAGAGTGTGAAATTGGAAGCTATAACTCTAAGAAGAAAAAACAAACAAGGAAGGCAATGACAGTAATGGAAGCAAGCTACATAAAGGGAATACAGAAATTCAATTTGAGGCAAGTACTTTTTCTGTTCATATTCTGGGATTTGGTCAACTGGGTGGTATCTGAGCAGGTTCAGTACTCACTTTCAGAGGAAACAGAAAAAAATTCCTTTGTGGGGAATCTTGCTAAAGATTTAGAGCTGGATATTGAACATTTACAAAAACGCAAACTTGCTGTCTCTTCAGAAAAGCAATATTTTGCTTTGAATGAGAAAAGTGGTGATCTATATGTGAATGACAGAATAGATCGGGAAAGAATTTGTGAAAACTCACCTATTTGTATCCTGCAGTTAGAAGTTGTGGCACATAATCCTTTGAATATTTTCCACATAAAAGTTTTCATCCTAGATATTAATGATAATGCCCCATATTTCCGAAAGAAAAATATCAGTCTCAATTTGAGTGAGTCTCATTTGCCAGGAGCTCGATTTGCTCTGGGAAATGCTGAAGATGAGGACATTGGAATCAACTCACTTCAAGATTATCATTTGAGCTCAACTTCGTATTTCAAACTAGAAATTCAAGAGAGCAAAGATGGTGGCAAATATGCAGAATTAATTTTGCAAAAGCCATTGGACAGAGAAAAGGAGCACACACACCACTTGATTCTTACAGCTTCAGATGGAGGACATCCAGTGAAAACGGGGACTCTTAACATAGAAGTCAATGTTATTGATATAAATGACAATCCACCAGTCTTCTCCCAGGCAACTTACAAAACAAGTCTGAAAGAGAATACACCAAGAGGAACTTTTGTGCTTCAAGTGAAAGCATCTGATAGTGATGAAGGGTCAAATGCTGAGATATCTTATATTTTCTGGGAAAATCCAGAAAATGTGAATCAGAAATTTAATTTGGATCCCACTGATGGAACAATTTCACTTGAGGAAAGTATTGATTTTGAAGACAGAGAAAGCTATGTGATGATAATACGGGCAAGTGATGGAGGTGGACTAGTGGCACATTGTAATGTAGAGATTGAGGTTCTTGATGAGAATGACAATGCTCCAGATGTAATTATTACATCTCTGTCCAGCCCCATTCTTGAAGATATTCTGCCTGGAGCAGTGATCGCCCTCATCAAAGTCAATGACAAAGATTCTGGACTTAATGGGGAAGTCACCTGTTACCTAAGGGAAATTGTACCTTTCCAGGTGATCTCATCATCAGATAACTACTTCAAACTCCTCATAGATGGCCCCCTTGACAGAGAAAAAACACCGGTGTATAACTTAACAATTACAGCCACAGACCAAGGCACACCTCCTCTTTCCACAGATAAAACCATCTTAGTACCAATCTCAGATATCAATGATAACCCTCCAGCATTTGAAGAACCTTCCTATGTCGCTTATATTCCTGAGAACAACCCATCCGGAACATCTATTTTCCAAGTTAAGGCCTTTGACCCAGATCTGGGTCATAATGCCCAAATCACCTACTCCATGCTTAACAGCAACATCAAGAACCTTCCTCTCTCCTACGTTTCCATTAACTCTGAGACTGGAACTCTCTATGCTCAACGATCTTTTGACTATGAGCAGCTCAGAGACTTCCAGCTGCAAGTTCAAGCTCAGGATGGAGGCTCTCCATCTCTCAATAATAGCGCCATGGTCAAAGTGTGTGTACTAGATCAGAATGATAATACTCCCCAGATCCTGTACCCTTCCCAGACAACTCAGGGTTCATCGTTCTTTGAGGTGGTGCCTCGCTCAGCTGATTCGGGTTATTTGGTGACAAAAGTCGTGGCTGTGGATGCTGACTCTGGACACAACGCCTGGCTCTCTTTTCATCTCCTGCAGGCCACAGAGCCCTCACTCTTCATCATTGGCTCCCAAACGGGAGAGATCCAAACAGCTCGAGCATTAGTTGAGAGAGACATTATCAAGCAGAGGCTGGTCATCATGGTGAGGGATAATGGACAGCCACCTCTCTCGGCCACCACTAGCCTCAACCTGGTCTTTGCTCAGAACTTCCAGGAGGCTCTTCCTGAAATGAATGCCCAACCTAATAACTCAGAGGATCAGTCCAAGCTCCAGTTTTACTTGGTTCTGACTTTGACTTTGGTGTCCTTTCTGTTCTTGGTGGCGGTAACTTTGGCCCTTATTATGAAACTTCAAAGGTCAAGGAATGCCACTTTTTTTCAGTGCTTCATTCCCGATTCTCATTCAAAGACTGGTACCGTATTTCCTCCAAATTATGAAGAAGGGACTTTGCCTTATTCTTATCAGATCTGTTTATCCACTGAGTCCAGGAGAAATGAACTGACTTTTCTGCAACCCAATGTCCAAATAGTGGAGAATCTTTCTTCTTCTAAACCTGATACATCTGTTATGGTCAGTGTAGATAACGTTTTTGATTCTGGAAAGGGCATGGTGAGTTTTATTCATTTTCTTCATAAATTACGATCAAGCTCTAATATTTGTTTCCATTTTTGTTGATACTGTTATAAATATAATTCAAGTAAATATGATTGATTTATCATTGTTATCAATTATTGTTAAAGGTTGTATTCATTTCAGACTTTGATGTCTGTTTTGCTTCAATTTATTCAGTTGATGTTGCATTGAGCACTAAGTCCACTTACCTTGCTGCTGGTTGTTCTTTTCTTTTCTTCTTTTCTTTTCTTTCCATCCTGTTTTCATACAGCAATAGAGCTTTCTCTGGAGAGCTAGATCTTTGCATAATATGTCCAAAGTTGGATAATTTGAGCCTGATCATTTGTGCCTCTCATTAAAAACTCTGGGCTGATTGGACAATTTAGTAAAAGTAAATAAAATACCTTTGCACTTTGCACAAATGATTAAGATAAGTTCTGCACCCATTCCATATCTAACATTTATCAGCGTGCTACTGTTGCTCTAATATCGAAATTGAGTGGGAGGCTATTTGCTGTTATCATAGTAATAAGGTTGGCAAGGATGCATCATCAAAAGATAAAACCCTTTTATTTGTTCTTGTGTTTTATTTGTTCTCCACCTCCTAAACCATAAATTCCACAATTTTTAAAGACAAATCTATAGCTGAGTTTGCAGCCTTTTGGTTATCAACAAGAGCAAATTCTTCAGCATGATTTCCATCAGTTTCATTTATTTTTTGCTAAAATATGGGAATAATGTCTAAGGATGAGTCACGAGATATATAGATAGTCCTTGACTTATGACACAATTGGGACCGGAATCTCAGTCATTGAGCAAAATGATCATTACACAAGATACCCATGTGACTGCTTCACTCAACAGCTGCAGTTCCAGCACTTGTGGTTGCAATCTCATGGGTCATTAAACGAATGCTGTTCCAGGTAAGGAGTGCAGGGTGCCTGAGGAGGAGTGGGAAATCCTGGGAAGTCTGCTCAGGAGCTGAAAATCCTCCATACCAAAATCCAAGCAGGATCTTTATCCCCTGAATGGAGAGGCACTAGTGCACGGCCTGTGCCAGGTTTGCCATGGCCTCTCCCACCTATCCGAGGCACATGCTGCCTCTCCACCCTCTGCTTGGATTTTGGCTCCCTCTTGTTTCTGGATGACAAGCTCTGGCTGAAAGAACTGCCTGCTGAAGGAGTTCACCTTCCCACCATGCACAAGAGAGAACTCCCTTAGCAGCATGCAGATACAGAGATTTGAGCCCGCCAAAGGACTCCACCTCTATATGTGAAAATCTTTAGGGTTTGAACTCCATTTCTGAACCCTACCAAACAACTCCAGCTTCACTTGGCAGGTAGCTCTTTCAGTAAGCCACCAGAGATACGAGGGAGTCTTCTCAGCAAGTGGCAGCAGCTTGTAACCATCCCTGCTGGCTCCCCCATTGACTTTCTAGGGAAGCTGGCAGAGAAGATTGAAAATGGTGAGCACACATGATCATGGGGCAGCTGGTCGTAAGTGCAAACAGGTCATCAAGCACCCAGACTGTGTTCATGTGACTGCAGAAGTAATGGTGCAACATTTTGTGATGACTAGAAGTGCTTTACAGGTCATAAAGCACCCTTTCGAAAAACCATCATAATTCCTGATCATCATGAATGAACAGTTGTAAGTTGAAAACTATCTGTTGAGGATATCCTCTAAATTCTTAATCAAATTTTGACTATCCACAATCTCTTGGGAGATTGAAAGATCAGTAATTTTAGTTGTTTCTGTTGTGAATTATGTACCCCTCCTTTCTATATTAAAGGTTGCAAACCATGTTGTATATCTAATAATAATAGCTCTATCTCTTAACTTATTGTGGCATGTATATCCAGAGGAGAAACAGGCTATGTGGCTGAGAAATTTGTAGTCCTATAGTCATTATTCATTTTCAGAAGCTTTTTATTCTTTAATCAGCATTTTCCAAGATAGCAATAGCACTTAGACTTATATACTGCTTCACAGTGCTTTACAGCCCGCTCTAAGCGGTTTACAGAGTCAGCATATTGCACCCAACAAGCTGGGTTCTCATTTTACCCACCTTGGAAGGATGGAAGGCTGAGTCAACCTTGAGCCGCTGACACTTGAACTGCTGAACTGCTAGCAGCCAGCAGTCAGCAGAAATAGCTGCAGTACTGCATTCTAAGATATTCAGTGAAAGCCAAAATATCCTATGGTTGATGTATTTACAAATGGCTGAAAGGATAAAATCTGATCTTAAGATGAAGAAGGGACATTAAGAAAAATACCAGAATTTGAAAATGTTATATAAAACCAAAACCATCTGTCAGCATGCATATACAAACTCCTGCTTAGGTACAATATAGAGACAGAACAAATTAAAAACTACAACAAAATGGATGCAAAATTTTAAAGAAACAATCACAAAACAACAGTTGGAAGAATTATGGACCAAATCCATAAAATTTTCTCTAAGCTACAATCTAAAAGAAAAGTTGGTGCAATCTCCAAGATAATTAAGTCATACAGAAATATATGTTGGAAAAGCTATGAAACAGAAGGAACATTTTACCATATGTGGTGGACATGTAAAAAAACTCAAAAGTACTGAAAAGTTACACATAGTACAATGTGGAAAATTTCAGAAATTATATTCAAAATAAAATCACAACTTTTTTATTAAGTATAATTCCAGACCATATAAAAAAGAAATATCATAATTTACTGCAACACATGCCTACAGCAATGACAATAAATTTTGCCCAATACTGGAAGAAAGATACAATTCCAACAATATCTGGTTGGAAACTTAAACTTGGAGAATATACAGCAATGGCAACATTAACAGCATAAATTTCCAACAGAAATTTCACCAAATTCAAGCAAGATTAGTTCCCATATGTGCAATATATAATATAGCATGACAAATATAAACACAGTATGGTTTCTAGGGGTGTATGTCTAAATGCTTATTAATAGATAGTTGATAGAGGCTCAAGAAGGGAGAAGTTAGAAATAAAATAACTTTTTAAACTTTTGTTATTATTGTTACTTCTTGTTTTGTTTTTCTTTTTTAAATATGCATGAACAACAATAAGTAACAATATAGTGGAGAATTTAGTATTAAGTTTAGGATAGAAACCTTCATTATGTAAAAAATAATTTAATGTAGTTTGCACTTGTTTATCAATATCACATTCAGCTCTAGATATAAAAAAATGCATTTATTTGTATCCTGCCTTTATTATTTTTCAAATAACTCAAGGCAGCAAACGTATCCAATATATCTTCCTCCTATTTTTCCCACAACAAGAGATGAGATGAGTTGGGCTGAGAAAGAGTGACTGGCCCAAAGTCACCCAGCTGGCTTTCATGGCTAAAGCAGGACTAGAACTTATGGTTTCGTACTTTCTAGTGCGGTGCCTTAATCACGACTAGACTAAAACTGGCTCTCATACGAAACTTTATCCTTAATAATATTAGCATTTTAGAAATCATAGTTAATATCAACATAAACAGTTTTTTTATCTTTAAAGGTTTAAGTTATCTAAACATCTGAGTGTTAATAATTACCAGTCAACCATTATACCCAAATCATATAATGTATTGCTTATATTTTATAATATAAATAAAACAATATATCTAAAGAGTTACATTTTTTCCTAGTATAGCAGCAATCAAAAACCAAAACAAAATATAGTAAAAAATATTCTACTTTACTTCCACTTTTACCCCTTAGGGTGTCGAGGGAGATGCAAAGTTCTGGTTCTTGCTCTTCTGGTGGCCTCAATCATTGTTATTTGATGCTATAGTAAAAAAAAATATTAGAAACAAAATGTCCTATCAGTTGAAGTTCTGAGCTATTTAAGATTTCTATTCATTTGTAGAATCATAGAACCATATGGGCTGGAAGGAACATTGACGGTCTTTTAGTCGAGGACTTTTCAGCCTTTTCATCGGTTGTACCACTTTTAGGATATGGCAATATTCGAGTACAACTTACTAAGGTGTCAAAAACTTGACCAAAAGAAAAAAGAAAAAGTGATAAAGTACAGGTAGTCCTCGATTTACAACAATTCGCTTAGTGACTGTTCAAAGTTACAATGGCACTGAAGTGACTTATGACCATTTTTCACACTTATGACCATTGCCACATTCCCAGGGTCATGTGATTTATATTTGGATGCTTTGCAACTGATTCATATTTATGATGGTCCCAGTGTCCCACGGTCATGTGATTCCCTTTTGCAACCTTCTGACAATCAAAGTCAATGGCAGGGTTGCTGATGGCCAAGTGCTAAGGCAGGACTTCCTTCAGATCTTCCTCCCTTTCATTCCAATCTCCCTGCCTCCTCTCTTCCTTCCTGTTTCCCTCCCTCCCTTCTTCCCTGCCTCCCTCTTTCTCATTCCCATCTCCTTCCTTCTGAAGGAAAAATTTGACCCCCCCCCCCCATATTTTCCCTCTTCCATATATTTATCAAACAAGAAAAAGCCTCCAGAGACAGAAAAGACAAGCCGCTAAGGGAACTAGCTTAAAAGGGCACATTCTCCTTTAAGAATTAGCTACTGATAGAAAGGAAAGTTAAGGAGCTGGCAGTGGGCACTTAAGAAAAAAAACCCCAAATGTAGGAAGTACTGGCTGCCGCCTAAGGCAGCCTCCCCAAATGGCTCCATTCATAAGTAAATTAATGCTACAAGCAAAATCCATTCAGGACAAAAATACTTCAAAATCCCTTGCAGCAAAACTTACAGCTAACAATAGCAGAGCAATAGAATTAGAACCAGTAACCCTCACCCCAAAATCCAACACGAGCCATCAGCCACAATAGAAATTGCCAAACACTCCTTAAGAACACAAAGCCCACATTGCACAAATCCCAGAACTTCAAAGTCACAAAATCACATAAGAATCCTTCCACTCTCCCGGTTTGTTGTTCAGCTGATCCAGAACCGAACTGCTGAAACAGCACTTTGCTTCTGCCAATAAACATGTCCTCTCAAGGAGCCGGAGCAGCCGGCTTCCTCTCACCTATTTCAAACTGCAGCGCTTCATTTTTTTTCTTTTCTCTTAAAGGTATAGCCTCCCGGCTGGAAAGCAAACCCTCAGCTTTTTCTTCCAACACTTCCTTCCTTTCTGTTTCCCTCCTGCTTGCTACCTCCCTCTCTCTCATTGCCATCTCGTTCCTTCCTCCCTCCCTCCCTCCTTCCATGCCTCACTCTAGCTGATGCTGCCTTTCTTCATTCCTCGTGGAGGGCAACCCCTCCCCTGCTGCGTTTCTTGCCTGTTTGTCGCTGCCACCTGTGTGCGCACCTGGCACGGATGACTGCCACAGAAGTTGTAGATCTGCTCCTGGTCAGCCTGTTTTATCTCCTCTCCTCTCTCCCCCCTCCTCCTTCTTTTCTCTTCAGTGCTGACTCCTCTTCCCAAGGCTGCATCTTTTTTCTCTCTCTCCCTCTCCCACCCAAACTGCCTCTTTTTATAGCCTCTCCTGTCTCCGCCCCCTCCTCCTCCTTTCTCTTCCGGGTGAGCCAGAAGTGCTGATCCTGGGGCCTTTGCCTCGCCCCAGCCGCCCTGCAACTCCTAAGGACTCTCTCACGGCAAGTCCTGCACTGCACCACTTTGGCTCGTTTCCTCCACCGCTACACTTGACTGGGCAGGGCAGGGCTGTGTACCACCTGCCAACTGCCAATGTACCACTGGTGGTATGCATATCACCGGTTGAAAAGCCCTGCTATAGACAAAATACAATGGAAAAAGGAATAACAACAAAAAGTAACATTTTTACTATCACTTGAAGGTGACTTTAGGAGTAATTTAATTTAACATTTTGTAGTGTTTGGGCTGTTAGCCTTGATCTGGTCCTCTTTACTACCTTTCTGAGGTGGTGCTAGAATAATGTTGCTGATCACAGTTAGAACTCAGGTCATCCTAAGCAGTTAATTTGCAGGAATGTATAACAGGTAGGAAATAGATTTGTGAAGAGACCACCCAGTTTGCTTCAGTAGCTCAGACTATCTCTAGCAATATCTTGATAATTTCTGAGTAATTCCAAGCACAGTGCAATCTTATTGTCAAGATCAAAAGAAAGTTGCTAAATTGGGATTTCATTCTCCTGTTGATTAATTAGGGAAAATACAAATATAACTTTTTTTCAGTAGAGAGGAATGACATTTGCAGAGAAGTTAGAGCATTTTTAAGAAAGACAAAGATTATCATCTTTTATTTAAATTACTTAGTGTGTTTTTGAGCTCCTATATTGACTTTGGAAATGCTAAGGAGATTCACATATGGTGTATTTCACTGAATATTATAGACTGCTTCTCTCTTGACATTCTTCATACTTGGCTGAAGACATTTTTGCCAATCTCATATTCAGTCTGAAAAAATAGAGAACCAATCTCTATAGGTGGTGATTTAACAACTTTTTCATTCCTATAATCATTAATAGACTAGTGGACTATTTGAACATGAGTGTAATTTTCCTGCAAGAATTTCAGCTAGATAATCAAATATTTTCTTCCTGGCCACTTTGGCAAATTTGATGACATAACACTGGCTTAAGGAATGCATTATGCTGCTGATTGTGCCATATATCTATTAATATGATTTTTGCTATATATCAATTAATATGATTTACTACTATTTATAATATTACATGGTAGAGTGAAGGTAGTACATGTCTCCACAGATGGTGTTGTCTTCAGTGGGGCAACAAACTATTTTCTCTACATTCTTTTTTTCCTTTTCTTCCTTCCCCTTCCCCTTTTCTTTCATTTTTATGTTATGAATTTCCTTATATTTTCCACTACTGACAATACTTAATGGAGCTTCCTTCACCTATACAAAACCTTATTAATATTTGAATGAGGCATTTGAGGAATACCAGCACATAGGCTAGCATCGGAATTGAGAAACATCCTAGAAGAAAGATATGGCAAACCACTTCCATTCTGTTGTTGAAAAAAATGAGTATGTTCATGGAGATACCAGGAGTTGAGTTCAGTTCAAAGGAGACTGGTCATAAACAGTTTTACTTCAAGCAAAAAGTAAGTATTATAAATAAATCCACCTCATGTTCAGGAGTTCTCCCCATCCCACATCTTGGTTAATGGGCTGATTTATGCTCAGCCCATGTCAACTGTAAATAGATCTCCACTTTCCACCTTATTTCAGCACATGTATTAGGCTTTCTGCTCACTTGTCATTTCCTTGTGGGTACAGGCTCATGAGTCAAAGACAATGCTTTGAACATACTATGTTTGAGATTATAGCTTTGATTTCTTATTCCCATTTTATCTTGACTTCCGCAAAACAAAAGACAAATGGTAGAATAGCAAGATAAACTGATGTTAAAATAGTGATGAGGTAATCACTATACATCCAGTAAGTAATCGAAAGGGCTCAGTGGAATGCTGTAACTGAAAGCCAAATTAGCAAGAGGGCTGTTCCCCATCACTCCCTGGTCTTCAGCCAATTAGCATGTGAAATACACAAATGGATTGTATCTTTTGCTACATCAATGGAATGGAATGAAATTTGCAAGCATGCAAGAAAATTAGGAGTGGACAAAGTTTTCATGGAATGTAGTACAGAATGCTAGAGTCACATAAAAAAGAATTCAAGGGTTGTATCATGGTTTTTGGAAGCTGATAGACAATGATAGACAAATAATAATGTTGAGGGACCTTAATGATGCCTTAGAATAAAGTCTAGCAATTTTTCTCCATTATTTCACAGAATATAGCACCATTAGAGTTGTTACAAGAAAAATGTTCTTAGTAACTTGTAGAAATGTATTTATTTCATTTCTCTCATGCAAAATCAAAAGACCAATAATCTATCAACAATTTTTCCAAGGGGGAAAAGTTAAACTTTATGAAATAATAAAGGTATTAAATACCACTTCATCTCTGTTGGATATGCTAGTGCTTCAATTAGCATTTATCCCACAGAACTGCCATTTCATTTTCCCCACCCTGCTTTGTCTTGCCTATGATTTCAGAGATCCCAGATGGACAAACTCAAGAGCAATTTATCCATCCAAGTAACCAAAATATGGCCAGCACATTTTGCAATGCTCCTGTTTACAAATAATGGGGAAATGGAATTAGGGTCACATTTGCAATATATTGTATTAACTCAGATATATGGTGAAGTCTTTGAAGATTTTTCATTTTTGATTTGATGTGGCTTTCTTAATTACTTGTAAGTAAATGTGACTAATTACAATTATTTGTAACATAAAGAACACATACATGGATTGTATGTTAGTTTCTAATATTAGATAGACTCCTGCTTTGGTGTGTCATCAAACAGTAATCAAGTTCTATTTTATTACTGTTGTTCTGATCTTTCATCTTGGGAAGCATAATTTTCATTGAGACAATCAGCCTGATTTGTGACTATAGGTAAGTAACATTAACATAAGCAAAGAAACATTACAAAAAGTACCTGTAATATTTGCGTTGTGACCCTGGGTGTCGCTGTTTACCAGTCTGGCAGAGAACTGCTCAAAAAGCTCAGCCTTCATATCTATGCTGCTTAAATACCTAGACTACAGAACAGTTAGATCATAAGGAAGAGACATACGAGCACGGGCAACTCTTGCTTGCTGGAAGTAAATGATGAAAAGAAGCTACAGAGAAGGAATTCTACTACAATGCCTTATGATGGTGAATTCTTGGAAGATTATTTCTGGTCAGCTCCATTATTCTATTCCAGAGGAAGTACGCAAAGGCACTTTTGTGGGAAATGTTGTAAAGGACCTGGGAATAGATGGGAAGCAGCCTTTTGACCATGGACTACGCATTATTCCTAATTCAGGTACAGTTCAGTACTTTGAATTTAATTCCAACAGTGGCCATTTACAAACCTGTGAGAGAATAGATAGAGAAGAGATCTGTGGAACAGGAGAGAAATGCATCTTAAAATTTCAGATCCTTGCTGAAAGCAAATTAAAGCTTTATGTCACTGAAATAGAAATTGTGGATATAAATGATAATGCTCCTTCCTTTCTTTCAATAAGCTGGGAACTGAAAATCAGTGAAACATCTGTTCCTGGTTCTCAGTTCTTTCTACCAGAAGCTCAAGATCCAGATCTGGGAAAAAATTCTATACAACACTATGAACTCACAGCCAGTAACCATTTTTCTCTGGAGATGCAAAGAAGCGAAACTGGTGCCAGATCTACGAAACTAGTTTTGGAAAAATCACTGGACAGGGAAGAGCAGTCAGTTTATGACCTGATCCTTACAGTTTTTGATGGGGGTGAACCTATCAGGTCTGGCACACTGCAAATTCACATCTTTGTTCTAGATGCAAATGATAATGTACCAGTTTTCAACCAACCAATCTATGAAGTAAACATCAAGGAGAACATGCCTAAAGGATCCATAGTAGCTACGGTGATGGCCATTGATATAGATGAAGGAATCAATGGAGAAATAAAATATTCTTTTCAAAAAATCTCAAAAAAGGGCTCTCAAAAATTTATGTTAAATTCGACTTCAGGGGAAATTATCCTTGTGGGGAGCCTTGATTTTGAAACATCATCAACGTATGAATTTGAAGTGCAAGCCATGGATGGGGGTGGGCTGAGTGATAGGTCAAAGGTTGTGATTTTGGTTACAGACTTAAATGATAATGCACCTGAGTTAGCCATCACCTTTGTGATCAACTCGGTGCCTGAGAACTCTCCAGCTGGGACCGTCATTGCCATTTTAAATGCCCGAGACAGAGATTCAGGAGACAACGGAGAGGTTAAATGCTCAATTCCCAGCAACCTCCCTTTTCGGCTCAAGAAAACAATGGAGAGTTTCTACAGTTTAGAGACAGAGAAAGCCCTTGACAGGGAACAATTGCCAACTTACTCTATTACTGTTACAGCGGTGGATGATGGGGCACCACCACTCTCTACATCTGTGGTTATTTCACTCCATGTGTTGGACACAAATGACAACCCTCCACAGTTTCTGGAATCAAAATATACCTCCTACCTTCTAGAAAATAACCCAAAAGGAGCCTCAGCCTTTTCCCTCAAAGCAAATGACCCAGACTGGGAAGAAAATGCCAGAATAACTTACTCCATCACTGAGAGCCAAATGAGGGACTTGCCCCTCTCCTCCTACCTGTCCATTAATTCTGAGACAGGGACCGTCTATGCCCTAAGCTCCTTGGACTATGAGGAGATTCAAGAGATTCAGTTCCAGGTCAAGGCTCAGGATGGAGGATCCCCATCGCTCAGCTCTAATGTCTCGGTGACTCTCTTCATCCTGGACCAGAATGACAATGTGCCAGAGATCCTGCACCCCTCCCCTCCCGCTGATGGCTCCACTGGGATAGAGCTGGCCCCTCGCTCTTCTGAGCCAGGTTACCTGGTCACTAAAGTAGTGGCAGTAGATGCAGACTCTGGCCAGAATGCCTGGCTCTCCTACCAGCTGATCAAAGCAACAGAACCAGGGCTTTTCACCGTGGGACTACACACTGGCGAGATCAGGACTGCTCGGCTTTTTCTGGAGAAAGATGCCCTGAAGCAAATCCTGGTGGTTTTAGTGAAGGACAACGGGCAGGCGCCTCTCTCTGCCTCAGTCACTCTCACGGTGGTTCTGGCTGACAACATCCCTGAAATTCTCTCAGATCTGAGCAACATCTCAGCTCCTGTAGATCCTCAGTCAGACCTCACTTTCTACTTAGTGACTGCCGTGGCTTTTGTTTCCTGCTTATTCTTTACCTTCCTCCTTGTGCTACTGGCAATTAGAGTGTATAGATGGAGGAATTCAAAATTGTTAGAGTCAGGAAGTGTACATTTTAATGGTGTCCCAGTGTCACAATTTGTTGGGATGGATGGAGTCCGAGCCTTTCTTCAGTCGTACTGCCACACTATTTCACTCACCAGAGATTCTAGAAAAAGCCACTGCAATTTTCATGAGGAAAACTGTTCAAATACTCTGACCAATCAACCTCTAACCTGTGGGGCAAGTGACCCTATCCTAGCCTATGGGGATTTAAACTTGAAGAATGATGAGCAAATCTTAGTTAAGGTGAGTTTAATATTTCAGATTAATGGTGTGTTGTGTTGATCCTATAAGCCCTTATTTATCTCAACAGTGGTTTCCCTTCAGTTTGTTCTGTCTATTGAATCTTAATACTGGATGTTTAACATTTTGTTTTTACTCTGCTGGGATCTTTCAGCTTTGTCCTGATGTCTGTTAGGATAATGTTCATACTGTTGATATGAACACTGTTCCAGAATGAATGCAGAATGTTATGTCTATCATATAGATCTACTTATTTGCCATTGTTTCATTCTTGTGATATGATAAGGCTGGTTAATTTCCTCATGTACTGATTTTCTATTCATAATGCTCATTCTTCCTATGGTTCCCACTACTATCATTTTATGAGTTAGGGTTGATGAGACCGGTTCAAAGTCATCCAATGAGTTTCTGTGATTGAATGTATAATAGGGTGGAGTTCTCCTAGAATTCTTTGTGATGATCTGAAGAATTGTTGAGGAATTATGGCATCACAGAATTATTTATATATCACATAACATTACATGTTAATCTGTAAATAAATACTCTGGTTGTAATACAAATGTGATTCTTATTCAGCTTACTCACTGAGACCTTAATCTGAGAGGAAGGAATGAAAAAGAATTTCAGTGTCGATTCCACTGTAGCTAAATATGGGCTTTCTGTTTCCATTTCTATAGATGTATTTTTTTTTACAGAAAAACTGTTAGTTGTTTTTTTTCTAATACCCCCCAAAAAGGAACTTTACTTGGAATTCTGAGACATTTTACATAGATTAAAAATCCATTTTAAATCCCACCAGAACAGAGTATTTCCTGTCTAAAGGAAATAGTGAAGTAAACCAGATTTTTATTAGTTGTCAGAATATATTGGACTTATTTGTGACTTTATCACATTTCTTGGAGAAATGAGCAAAGTTTGGTATTTTAGCTATAGCATTTTCAGAGTTCTTTTGGCCAGCAAATAAAGAAGCAATAGCAATAGCACATAGACTTATATACCATTTCACAGTGCTTTACAGCCCTCTCTACGTGATTTACAAAGCAGCATATTGCCCCCAACAATTTGGATCCTCATTTTACCGACCTTGGAAGGATGGAAGGCTGAGTCAACCTTGAGCCGGTCAGGATCGAATTGCTGGCAGTCAGCAGAGTTAGCCTGCAGTATGGCAGTGGTAAAAGAAGAAGAAAGGTTCCTTTACTTTGTGCGATGGTTCCAATCATCCTGAGAAATACATAGTAATCAAAGGCTCTATTTTGACCTGCAATATTGCCCACAAAGACTTGAATAAAGAGGTGCACATATTATTAAAATCAAGGAATGGATGCCACCTTATCGTTAAGGATTATAGGTTTATAACTCTCAGCTTTTCAACCTGGGTGATGAGTTAATTTATCAACTATGGCTTGCTATATGAATTTAGCCCAAAGTAATAGCTGAGATTCATAATTACAACCCCCCCTCCCTGGAGTTTGATGACGCTTGACAGGGTTGCGCTTGCATGAACAGAGTTGGTACACAATTTGAGGGTTCTCCTGGATGTATGGTTCCTATTTGAGAAGTATGTGACAAATTTTGTTAAGATTCAATTTGTGCACAATTGTACCCATTCCTAAATAGGAAGGCCTTGCTCATGGCCATTTCCTGGTTGGACTAGTTAACCTGCTGTACATGTTTGCCCTTGAGGATCACCAGGACGTTACAATTGACACAAAATGTGGTAGGATGCGCTGTGTTGGGCTTCCCTCTATTTACCCATATTACAGTGCTGCACTGGCTCCAAGATTCTTTCTGGCTGCAATTCAAGGTGTTGACTATCACCTTTAAAGCCTTACATGGCATAAGGCTATGTTATTTGTGGGACCAGCTGCCCTTGAGGTTATCTGCCTGCTGCAACAAGGATTGATAAAATGGGCATGTTCCATGTCCCTTCTCTTAAATGCTACCATCTAGTGAGACCTGAGAAGTTTCATTTTTCCACAGCAACTTGTGGAGTTGAGGCTGGATTAAATGATGATAATGCGCCCCATTTTTAGGAAGAGAATTCAAAGTATCTGTAAAACTAGGATCCAGATTTCGTTAAATATTGTCATAATCCACAAAATAATTAAGTTAATTGCACAATGATATAGTCCAAATGTACTATTTTGTCTGGAGGTTAAGCAAAATTTCTAGGTGTCATAAATACTTAACTGTGTTTGGAAAATTCTTTGCACACTAAAGGGGAGTCCATTTATAATAATAGCTATTAATGAGAGTAATCTGTCTGTATGGTGTTATGCAATTCTAAATAATTCTTTTAGATTTAAATAACAGTTTACTGGTTTTTAAACTTTTCTATCAAATAAGTATCATTGAGGATAACCTAAAAGAATCTATAGTCTGAACAATAAAATCCAGTGATCTTGATAATCAATCATGATATAAATTATTCTTTCACAAATTTTGGGGCAACTACTATCCAAATATTTATCTTCAGTTCTATAAAAGGGGCACAGAGAATTAAAACAAATGTATGGTGACCAGACACATCACGAAGCATGTGCTTTGTCAGGAACAAGAATATGATTAAACCATCAAGTCCATTGACAATTATCTCTTCTTGCTGATACAAATGATATTCTAAAGAACAGCTACAGCTGATACACCATAAACTGAAATTTTCAGAAGGAAGTTCAGAAACCTGGAGATTCAAGAGGCGTTATCATCCATTCTTCCAATCTATTCTTCAGGTGAATGATGGATTATGTAAATGGTATCAATAGAAGAGATTTGGTTTCTGGAAACAAGGTCTGAATTCTGGAAAGATGGACTGAATGGTCTGACTGCTAGCACAAAATAGGTTGTACCTCATAAGGATTGACAAAAAAGAGTTTGGACAAAGCATAACAACTTCATTAGAAGGCTTTAAACTATATATTTTGGGAAATAGAAATGAAAATCTTTTTTTACATACTAATGCCCAGAATTTTAGAAACAAAATGAATCTGAGCCCTTAAAATAGAAAGGCAAATGTCATTTAATTCATAAAACAGAGACCCAGTGGGATTATATCAGTGCCTGGAATAACTGAAGGATGCCGTTTGTTTAAAAGGAACAAAAGCAAACAGGAATTGCATTATTTGTTTAAAATATTTCTTCCTGCTCAAAAATCAAAATAAATGAATTGGTCATTTATGAATGTTATCAGAAACTTTAGATTTTCAAAGAGTCAAGAAGTCATACAAATGGGAAATCATTCAAATTGTTGGCAGACTCAGCCAAGTATGGACCTTCCATGAAATTTTTGATTTGTTTTGCTGACAAATTTCACCTTCAGAGAAAGGAGCAAGAGTCAAGAATCTAACTCATAAAAAAGACTTAACTGAGAAAGTGGGCAAAGCACGACACTGAGGGAATGGCAGTATATTGCTGGTGTTCTTGATTTTAAGGGAAACTAAAAACTAATCATAGTCTAACCAACTAACCAAGGATAAATGGGACTGCATGGGACAGGAAGGTAAAAGGAAAAGGATCCAAGATGGGAGAAGTTCCTAAAGGAGAAAACAGAACTAAAAACAATTCCACTATGAAGAAAAATGCAGGATAGCAGACCAGTCCAGAACAGCAAACCAGTATAGCTACAGAAAGAGCTTACTGAAGATCTGAACACAAAAAAGAAATGAAAAAGAGAGCTAGTTCAGAGAGTGTACAGGTGGTGTAAGGAAAGCAAAAGCTTAGAATGAATTAAAGTTAGAGAAAACTAGGTTAATGGCACTGTTGAAACAAACCTATTAGAGGTGGATGTATCAGAACTGATTTTTGCCTCCTTATCCAAAGAAATACCGAAGATTCTGCTTTAGATTTATATCACTATACGTAAAATATAAGGCTTGTGGGGCAGGGTAATGAGGCATGTTAGTTGCCATTTAAAAATGCTTTCCCATTCAAAATAGTATCTGCTACTATGAAGCCTACTATAAGCACAGAATAAATGATAAATAAATCTGAAATTTAAAAGAAATTGCATTATCATATGCAGGAGATTCCTTGTTATGTCTTTCTAAAAGCCTAGATCCAGAGATTTCCTGCAGTTCTGCATCGGAGACTCAGAGCGCCGCTGTTGGCCAACATAGTTCCCAGAAAGGAGCTGGCAATCTAATGGGCTTCCTGCCTTCTGACTATCCACTCACCGAGCGCAGAGCAGTCAAAGAGCAGGACTGAGGGACACTCAAACACCATGGCAGAGAAAAGAGAACCACTGCAATGTAGATAGAACTCAGGAGAANTTCGCTATTCAATTCCAGAGGAAATGGGAAAGGGTTCCGTTGTGGGGAATCTTGCCAAGGATCTGAAGCTGAGTCCTGCAGAAGTGGGAAATCGCAACCTGCATATCCTTTCTTTAGGCAAAAAGCAATACTTCTCCATTAATGCTGAAAATGGGAATCTGTATGTAAAAGACAGGATTGACCGAGAGGAAATCTGTGGGGAAACTGCAGTCTGCCCCATCAATTTTGAAGTGGTGAGTGCAAACCCCATGGACATATTTTATATAACAGTAGAGATCCAGGATATTAATGATAATGCACCACATTTCTTAAATGGTGATATCAAGTTAGAGATAATTGAATCCACTTTACCAGGAGCCACATTTCCATTTGAACCAGCAGAAGATCCTGATATTGGGATATATTCTGTCCAGGACTATCATCTAAGCATTAATAAGTATTTCATTTTAGTAATTAGTAAGCAAGACTCTTTAAACAAGTATGCAGAATTAGTACTGGAAAAACAGTTGGATCGTGAAAGTGAAAGTACTGTTAGTTTAACCCTTAGTGCTCTTGATGGTGGAAACCCTGCAAAAACTGGAACAGCCAAAATACAGATTACAGTCATAGATGCTAATGACAACCCACCTGTCTTCAGTCAAAAAGTGTACAAAATCAGCCTCAAAGAGAATGCGTCAAAGGGATCTACTGTAATACAAGTCAAAGCCACAGACAAAGATGAAGGTTCCAATGGCCAGATCAACTATTTCTATAGAAATATTGCTGATAATGCTCATCGGAAATTTGACTTGGATTCAGAACAGGGATTTATATCAATTCACGAAGAGCTAGATTTTGAGGAAACAGAGAAGTATACCATAGCAGTAGAAGCAAGGGATGGAGGTGGATTAGTAGCACACTGTAATGTTGAAATAAAACTATTAGATGTAAATGACAATGCTCCAGAAGTGATTCTTGCTTCCTCATCCAAAGAAATTCCTGAAAATTCCCCCGTAGGGACATTGATAGCCCTCATCAATACAAATGATAGAGATTCGGGGGATAATGGAGAGGTCAATTGCCATTTAGAGAATGCTTCCCCATTCAAAATAATATCAGCAGCTAATAACTACTATAAGCTGCTGACAAATGGTCCCCTAGACAGAGAAAGCACCCCAGGGTACAATCTTACAATCACAGCCACAGACAATGGTACGCCCCCTCTTTCTACACAGAAAACTATCTCACTGGAGATTTCGGATATCAACGATAATGCCCCTGCCTTTGAGAAATCTTCATATAGTGTCTACGTGGCAGAGAACAATCCTGCTAGCTCCTCCATCTTCAGCATCAAAGCTGTAGACCCCGATCTTGGTCGCAATGCTAGGATCACCTTCTCCATCCTCACTAGCAAAATAGAGGCGCTACCTCTCCCGTCTTACCTCTCCATTAACTCAG